AAAATGATTCAATAAAGCTTGTATATAATATTACAGCAGCACATAAAACAAGATTGTAGAATATAAATCAGCAATATTTATTTGTGTTAAAAACTATTCATCAGAAGAAAATATTTTCAGATTAAATTCTCAAAACAACCCTAATAACTCTTAAAATTATCAATAAACCACAAATCCAATTCTGGAGAAATGTATGAGCGTTTTACGATTAAATATCTAATTTAATCAAAGATCAAATGAATACCAAATATTTTATATGATAACTACCTTTAAACAAACAAATTCTCAACTGTAATCTACAATAACCTTCAAATACAATTAACCTTACTTTGACAATTTAAAAATGACCTTAAATATGTTTCTTTAAAAGGATATTTTAATTTACAATTTTTTATTTATTAACAAATGACTAAGTTAATCCGGCTCGAAGGACCAATATGTTTGAACAAAGGGGAATTAAAAATTAAATTCCTGACTTTGCTACCAAACTGAATAATTGCTGGTTCAATAGATATTTGTTAATATAGTAGAAATCAAGTTTATTGATCTGTCTAAACAGTGAGTTACTACCTACTGGAAAAATAATAAATTCATTTGAGTTCAGAAAATATTATAATGATACAAAATTAAATTAACCCTTTACAAATCAAATCAAAACTATTCTCTTGATGAGATATTTAAGTCCAAATTGGAATAGACAGAGAGGAATGATGTGTAGAGATGTACTCACGACCTCGAAGAGAAGAAATTAATGAATGTTCGTTAATACCAAGTAATGGAGATTAACACTTCTTGAGAAAATAAAATATAACACTGTGTGCACACAAACTTCTGGTGAATGTTCCTCACGGTTAAATAAAACTTCTGTTGAAACAATAGAGTCAATAATTGATGATTTAATATGGGATACTGAGACCCATAGTAAAATAATTAGAGGGATTCAGAGACCCTCATAATGTTTGATTCACATGAAGACTGCATAGTAACTGAGTGAGTTGGAGAAGTGTACAGGAAAAACCACTGGTCAGTCTATATCATGTCGGCTGGAACTGATAAGCAGGATACGCAGCACATTCCTCTGCATTGTCTGCATTGTCTGTGCTGTTAGCGTCTATCTCTCTCTCTCTCTCTCTCTGTCTGGCTTAACTTAATACATTTTTATTTTATGAACTCACTTAAAATATTATTCTGAATTGAACCAAAAAGTGCAGTGATTTATTTACACACAAAACATTTAAATATCTATTATTTAAATGACAAAACAAGTATTATTTTATTTAAAATAAATTTAAGTTTAGACCTAATTTGAGAATGCTCAAACAAGAAGTTATTAGTGAAAATAACATACTTAAAAGATAAATGTGATAAATTTGAGAAAGAGGTATCATTAATTAAGATGCAGTGTGAAAACTTGGAGCAATAAAGTAAGCTGGATAATATTCAAATTAATGGTGTTCCAGAGATGGAAGAAGAAAACATCCTTGAAATTGTTAATAAAATTAGCAATTGCCATTGATGAACCAATAGTTTTAAATTTTGGTGTTCAAGTTGTTCATAGAATACCGTGCCATCTAATAAACAAAATGTTGTCCATCCGATAATAGTTGAATTTACAAACCGCCAAAAAGGGAATATGTTATGAAAAAAGCAAAGAAAGCTATACTGAATAAATCACATTTTGTTAAAGGCTATCCAAGTACACACGTATATATTATGCCAATTTGTTTTTAATTGAAAACTAGGCAGAATGCACTTTTCAACTGGGTATCTTATTTTGAGTAAAATAATTTATTATATATGTATAATAACTTCCGGAATTGTAGCGCAGGCCGCTCCCCAGTACGGTCTTGATTCACTCAAAAATCTGTTTGTCCTAATTTGATGTTAAATCATAAACTTTAGTTGCTTATTATTTATCGAAACAATGTATCCTAACGTCTAAACATGAGTATTACACCATAGATAATCTGTAAAATGATATATAACGCTTTAAAACTTAGTCTTCACACTGTTAAGTAGTGCCGGTTGCCAGATTTTTAATTTCAGTTTCTACCCGTTACATGGCAGGTAGAGCGCCAGTTCCTTGTCAGTTGTGAGTAAGATGTCAGTGAGGTCCATTTTGTTCAAAATTTAAATATTTACCGTTAAGTAATAATTTATAAAATACTTTAATAAACAGGTGTTTCATTTTTTTATACTGTAGCATCGGTCAAGAAAAGTAAAGCCACAATGATTAACAGTCAAATGTTGATATTGCTTCGATAAAATATGCTGGTGGACAGGTTTCATAGGAACCAATATGGCGATCCTGGAAATTTGGGTTGTCTCGTAAATAATAATTTGTCATCATGACGTAGCGTCGGACAAGTAAACAAGCGACCGGCACTACTTTTATAACTGATGTGAAGGTAGTAGTGCCGGTCATACAATAAATTTAATACATCTATAAATCTAATATAACATAGAGTTAATCATGTACTACCACAAAGTCTTTTTTCTACATCAATTACAATTCCATAAAAGAAAAAAAGTGTTATCAATTATAACTGTCCCAAATAATTTTTTCACCCAAATGTACCTAAATGTTTCCTTGTGCACATCAGGATTTGTAATATTTAGCACGATGTTGTATTAAATATAAGGTTTGAATTGAATTGAATATATAAAAATGTTAACAAATAAGTTAATTTTTTGGGGCCTCTTAGCACAAGATAAGGATCTAGGTCTTTCCGTGCCATATACAGTAATAGCTTCTCACCTTCAGGGAAAGTTCACTAAAATGAAATAAAAGTTAAATACTTGACATACTTAAAAGTTAAATAGGAAACAGCTTTTTCCAGTTTCTGCCAGTGGAGTTTTTCTAAAGAGAATATTAAAGGGTCTTGAGAGAAAATTATGCAAACTAAACTTATCAAATTTTTGCGGATATGTAGTGAATTAAACCCTGTCCTTTTCGCACAATAATCTGAGATACTAACCAATAGGCTAGCAACACACCCAACTATCAAATACAAGAGCAGGAAAGTAAGTCTTTTAAAATTTCTGTTGCAATTTGATCATCCAGTAGGCCTATAATCAGTTGCAGAAAGAGCTGTTTGATTAATATTGTTTGTTTAGGTGCTTGTCTTGAGAGCACTTGAGTAAGGTTTGTGAAAATCAAAACGATTAAAGGAGTGCATGTGTTAGTTTCATATCAAAACAATTGTCACAGTTTACTAGCAAACCTGTAAATCATGTAATGGACTTGCAACATTTTTATTTTATTTATCTGCTCGCTTCTTGATGGCGTAACCGATTCTGTAAACATTATAGAGTAATTTAACATAAATTTTGAATCAAAATTTAGGATGGATTTAAGTTCCACTGATTTTATATTGAAATAAAAGTATTATTTAACAAATAAGCTAGACCAATTCATATTGAGGTTAGTTGAATTAATTTGATTACATTTACTATTTTTTTAAGTTGTAAGTTACCCCAAAGAAAATTGAAACATCCTAAAAACAGACTTTTGCTGCCTAATCAATTAAAGCCATTTTATATTAAATCCTTAGCATAGTAGGGTATGTTAATGTAAAAAATCCTTATAATGAATAAGTGGTGGGAGCAACTATATAGGACTATGAAGTTTTATAGGAAACATTTATAGGACATTTATTTAAAATTTATAGGAAAAATGGTTTGAGCAGTTTTTGTGAAGATTTCATTTTTCCATTATTTTATGGGTTATTATAGGAAAATTACAATAAAATAAAAACATGAATATCCCATATGATATGTATGGAGGGGAAAAATAAAAATTAGATTTTAAGTGCTACTGTTGTGCTACCCATTGAAACCAGTCTAAAACTACAACTACATCACACTGGATGTAAAGTCTGAACCTTTTGAAACATTCATGTTTTGGAAAATATTTAAAAAAATAATAAAATTTAGGGAATTTTAAGTAAATTTATAAAGGAAAAGTTAATTTCTATCATTGTCTTTGAACAGAAAATTTACTACTGTATATTATACAGGGTGTCCATAAAAAACGTTTCAGGACTTTGGGAAATGGATCCCCATACTAGAAGGAAGAAAAAAGTTTATGGGAAGGTATGTCCGAAAATAAATATTTACCCAGATATCCGCCATTTTGTTTTTTATACAAAAATATTTTTATCTGTGAAGTTTTTGATTCGATGATTATGAAACTTGGTAAACATGTTACCATACACAAGACCTATTATAGAAAAAATAATAAAGTTGTTCCGATTGTAAATTTCAAAATGGCGGCCGTTTGAATTTTTCTAACTTAAATAACTCGAAAACGGCTAATTCTATGAAAAATGTCTAGGATACTTTTTTTTAGCATTTTTAATTGCCTATCAAACAATACCAAGATCAAAAAGATCGGACAAAAGATAACTGAAATATCATAGTTAATGATAGTCGGGGAACCCCTAATTTTTGCCTTATTTTTACAGAAAAAACGTAATATTTCAGTTATCTTTTGTCCGATCTTTTTGATCTTGGTATTGTTTGATAGGCAATTAAAAATGTTAAAAAAAAGTATTCTTGGCATTTTTTCATAGAATTAGCCGTTTTCGAGTTATTTAAGTTAGAAAAATTCAAACGGCCGCCATTTTGAAATTAACAATCGGAACAACTTTATTATTTTTTCTATAATAGGTCTTGTGTATGGTAACATGTTTACTAAGTTTCATAATCATCGAATAAAAAACTTCACAGATAAAAATATTTTTGTATAAAAAACAAAATGGCGGATATCTGGGTAAATATGCATTTTCGGACATACCTTCCCATAAACTTTTTTCTTCCTTTTAGTATGGGGATCCATTTCCCAAAGTCCTGAAACGTTTTTTATGGACACCCTGTATAAATTAATATAAATAATTGTAATTCATACAACTAATACTAAAATTCAACGTCCATTAATCACTTATATACTTAGTATCAGAAAAAAGTATATAACCCTAAAGTAGCCTATATAGTTTTACCTTGTTCTTTCACTATCAGGCTAACACCATGGAAGAAGCCTTTGAATCGAGGATTTGCAGAACGTTGGTCATTGATAAACTTGACCTTAACTGTTTCCATGGGGGTTACGGCAAACACAGCCTCGCAGATTCCAGCTCCCAGCCCACACAATACCCTCATCTGCGGAGACAGATTACCTCGCTCATCCATCGATCTAGTCTTGAGGGCTTCAAACGCACCAAATCTACAAATGATAGTTATACCTAGAACTATGTTGTATAGGTGAAGTAGTTGGTTGATATTTACATAGATTTGTAGAAAATGTTCGACAACTGTGCTTAGACTTCGTGGTGCCTGATACAATAGTAATTCTTGCTCCTTGACGAAATGCCTTACTGGGAGTTGACTTAAGAGAAGTGTATATACAGTTCATATTTGATTATCAGTTGTTGTAAGGTAACTACTACACATATTGCTCAGTGGGATACAACTTTTAATTACAGTAGTTGACACAAGTATTTGAAAGTCAAATTTTTGTCTTTGGGAGATGACTGTACCATTCAACTGGTGTGAAAATAGGCCTAATGGCTGCCGTTTTAGATGGATTGCTGGTTTGTCTTGGTCTTGTTTGTCCTTGGCCGGCCTCGCACTCATGTACATGATTTTGTAACTTTAAATGTTTCTGTATGTGTTTTTTGTGAAGTAATTTTGACGACGGCTAGTGCAAGAGGATATGTTTGACATATGACGATAGAAGAGAAGATTTGAAAATGGGGTTTTAACCCTGATACTAATCTACGACAATATAGGACTGATTGACAGGTTAGTAACCTCATTTTATATGAATACTGTAGTTCAACACTTGTAACAGTAAAAACTTATGCAACTAAATGGCTGGAATAGGTTTGAGAGTTTATGTCAAGTGCATTATGTACACTTTCATAACATCACAATGGAACTTAAAATGGCAAGTTGTGGATGATAATTAAACTTGACTGGGAGCTCTACAAGTATATAGCACTTCGACCATTGGCAAAGTGCCATTGGTACGTTGGAAGTACCATTGGCACTTTAAACGTATACAGTAATTAATCTATTTAAGACTACATTGAACACAAAATCAAGACAATTAAAGAGAATTGAAATAGATTATCTTCCTCTATTATTCAGAAAAGTGAAATATAAAACATTCAAGAATTACAGTCAATCAACGGGAATGGATCTTTCTAGGATTAATTGGTGTGTATTATGTATTTAGCAAACTCATGGTAAACAAGTAATTAGTTATTTAAATTTATGACTAAATTTGTAGTTATATTATTTAATACACTTGTCAAGGGTACATAAGATAACTATGTCCAGAGTCTACGACCTTTTCACTGATAGCTTGGCATCTTATCTGTAAGCCTAGACAACAGCCTTGAATCAATTTGAACATCCTAACTCATCACTTGTTAAAACTGACAATTTGAACACTGATTTTTGGATTTAATGCCATTACAATTAACAATGGAAATCGTGATAAAGTTCAATAGAAGTAAAATATTAACATCATAATTGTCAAACAGTAAAAGGTCTATCAGGTAAACATATTATTGAAGCAATCATTTGTGGGCTTATTATTATGATATCCACAAACACAGTTAAATTACAGTTATGAAAAGAGTAAATGGTATTTATATATACTCATAGCAAATATAGTGTTGAGCAGAATTCTATGCCTTAAGAAATCAGGTCTGTTAGTTCCCTTTACAAAAGTTGTACATTAGTACCATGTTAAACAAATTGTTAAATCAAGTAACATGCTTTCTGCTTTGTTTGAATTGTACGGTAGAAGAAAATATCCACAACAGATCAAATTGATTAATGCTGTAAGTGCAAAGTTTACAAACTGAACCATTTTAATTTTATGATAGCCTACGGTACGTATGTAATTTGTATGTAATTATAATTCATTAAAGTTATTCATTAGTATGTGAACCTGATATTTTGGTCTGTATACATGTTTTAAATATCCTTGCATTGTAAAAATATTAGGCCTATTATTGAATGCATTATTTTACATTATATTAACCCTTAGCGGTCTCAAAGCCATTTAAGGAAAGTTCCCCTCAACTCGAATGGCCAGCCCTTCTAGACATGGATACGTTCTATAGCTTGTCATTGTTTACGCGGCGCAGTGCCTCTCAGGTCGTACGGCCAGCTATACTGGCCACTACTGATTTCCCTGTTAGGCAGGGTTTTTGGATAAATCTGATAGTATAAAAAATGAACTAGTTCAAGGCTTAGGTTCAGAGGGAAAGAAAATTGTACATCATTTTCATTGCAACAGTATTTTGTTAACTTTTAAATTTAATAATTTATTATGAGTGATTTTAAACAGCTAACATAAATTTTTGATTGTATTTCTCATTTCATTAGCTTTCAATAAAATATAATAATATTAGACTTATTGAATTTATATTTGGTTTCAATGAGTAAAACCTTAGCCCTTACTATAATTAAACAAAAACAGGAATTATTTATACTAGCTGGTGAAGCATGGTTCCCAGAATGGTGGCCAACCTAACAGAGGAAACACAGTGGCCAGCAGTGCTGGCTGTACAACCTGAGAAACACGGCGCTGCGAGAAGAATGACGAGCTGACGCAGAAACAGCTGTAGTGCTGGCCATTCGAGTGCAAAGGGTTAAACAGTTACTATTAAAATTGTTTCCCCAGGTAAAACTTATATTCATTAAGAGTCAACAGAGACTGAAAACTAGATATGGAAAAACCGGTTGTAGGCTTATGTCGAGAGTTAAACATCGGTAAAAGTAGTGTTAATGGCTGGCCACCAATTCAGCTTAAATTTTCAAGTAGCCTAATGTAGTGTCTCACTTGAGCTTTATTCCTTAAGTGCCTATTTTCTGTGAACCCTATGCATAAGATAACATACATGCTTGACTTAATATGCATTTCCATTAAGGGTACCACAATAGAACCATTTTGATAAGTCTTTGAAAATTATGTAGCCTATTGGCCTATAGTTATTTAGGCTACGCACATAACATCCCCAGATCATAAGTTATGACGAAATTTCGGGTTGGAGACAAAATTGAGATTTTATAGTACGTAATTGTCGTCTCACCTGAAATTCTGTCACACCTTAAATTTGTCCAGATAGCTTAGCCTACAATGAGATAGTCCAGGGCTCTAACGTGTTTGTTAATTAATTATCGTTTCGAGTTTATTGGCTCAGAATATTTATTACAACAATAATGCTTACAATGTTAAGCTTACCTTCAACAAGTGCTCATCATAGCCACTCGAAAAATATGTAAAGTTAAATTTTGAATTTTGAATAACCTATCGAAATGCGAATAAGCCTAGTTAATTAGAAACTAAACTAAAACGTGATTCGGTCGTTATACTTGGTAATCACCAAAGTAAACGTGTCGGGAAAATTAGACTCGGTCGATCACCAGAGTCGGTACGGGGTTTCTTAAACCAAATTTACGTAGGACGGTCCGGGGTAACGGGGTAAGTCGTACGTAAACCGTTCCGGCAACTTAACTGATTTCCGAAGCTGGTTTAAGACAAAAGGTAGTGTGCTCGTACGTGAAAAGGCGTGCGGGGTGCGCGCAACTGCGGCACAGTAAAATAAAAATAATAAAACTTCTCTAAAAATGAGATTAAACAAAATAAATTCAGTAGCACACTAACCTGATGACTTAGGATTCTACCAGGAACGGGGGAAATCTTTAATTGACCACAATTTAGGAGGTTATAGACTGTTGGATTGTCTCCAAACAGCAAGCGTACTGACGGTTCGGTAGCGGGTGGACGACTCATGACTGATCCGCTCTTCTGGTCCTTCTTCGCCATCGCCCCTGGCGGCGGGGTAGGTAACTAGCGTCATCCCCTCTACGATGACGTAGGACCCTTACCCCTACGATGCCGCTGACAACGCGGGCGCGGCTTACCCCGAACGTAGAAAATTATAATATTTAAAATGGAACTTTTAAAAATCGGGTTTTTACCCCTTGACGGGTTTTGGGTCGTTACAAAGTCCAGCCAAGAGGGGCTTGTACTTGTATTACTGTGTGAGTCAGTAATTGTACTACTTGACAATGCTTAATTAGCAGGGGAGTGAAAAGACAACCGAGATAATGGGTCTAGTTGAGAGACAAATGATTATTTTTTATCAAACCTATGGGGAACCTGACAGTACTAATAACTCAAATCTATTATAAACTTGTCAAGCTAAGTTTTCAATAAAGTTTAAATCTAAAAATCATTGATTATTAGACAAATTTAACAAATTACTCACCTCAAGAAATGCTATACCTACAGTAGAATACCGATATTCTGAACTCCACTATTTCAATAGTCTATCTAGGCCTATTCCGAACTTAAGTTTGGAAAATAATTAATTTTTCAAGAAGTTAGTACGAAGCTAATTATGTCACTACGAATGTCATCAAAGCTAGCGATTTCGGAAAAGCTTGAAAATGTTGAAGATTCTAGCGATGACATTGCGAACTTAGTAAGAATATTGATGTTGACACAAAAGTAGGCGATGTTAATGGTGTTGCCTGAAATTTCCTGGTATCAAAATATGATGTCACGAACGTCGAAAAAGCCAGCAATATCTCAACAAAAAGTGGCGAAACGTCAACTGTGATCACAAACATTTTCATAGTTAGTTCGGAATAGCGGGGTTCTACCTTAAATATATATTTTTTCTTTGAAAGTACGGTAAGTTAGTTGTTAGAATTTTTTTGCCTATAATTTTTCTGAATTTTTCAAACTGAGTTTTTCCTGTCAAATACACAAACCACTGCGTTACCTACAGCTTTTACTTTCCTGGATACTGTTTTTAACTGCAGTAGGCACTACTCAGTACTCATGCCTCAGGTAATATTAATGAGCCCTTAAAGTTAAAAAAAAATATAAAAACATTCCTACAAACGAAAAACTACAATAAAAAGAGTTATTCACCATAATGAAAAATGGTTTTCCAAATAGTTTTTTAACCTTCTTGCATAATAAAATACCGAATGTAAAAACCATATAAAACAAACGGTCTGGAATTGTACAAGAAGTGAACAAATCACGAGCCAAGTCAAGTTTTTAGGGAAATTCGAGACGACAAAGTAATAGGCCTAAAACCTTAAAAATCTAAAATATTTCAAAAATGTGAAATATAACGCACCTGACAGCAGACTTGGGGATGGAGCCATACAGCAGCACACTGAGTCCTCGGTATAGACCAAAGAACCCATGGCTTTGTACAGTCTTCTTGATACAGTCAACAATTCCCGAGTAACGTTTGGCACCTCCTTTCTCATCTAGCTGCAGCTGTGTTTTTACATATTCTGTAGGGAAGGTAATGCAGATTTCAATACCACCTGTAATACCCCCTGAAACAACAAATCACAATTCAAATCTAAATAGTTTAGCCTACATGTTGACATTTAGTTCCTAATAATTACACAGACTTGCAGAAATGTAGCGTAACCACTTGTTATTTTCTCACCTCCTCTGCTTGAGACCATATCATAATGGATAAGCTGTGTCATAATTGGTATACGCCTATATAATCTTGTAGGCCTGTATGGCTATTTAAAATGTAGGCTATACAAACTTCCAAGACGGAAATACTACTGTCCTTATGATTAGAAAAAAATTCTTTGATGTATTAAGAAAGTTGTAGGCCTAATGTGTTCTTTTTGTAACATCTTCTATAGTGGGCCTAGCAAGCTGGTATTGTTGCCAACGACAAGACTTAAGTCCCCCGAGGTCCTGGATTCAAATCCCACCAATAACCAACAAAACGATCTTCTAAGTGATAATGTTCAAAAATCTAGGCCTAGCATGAAGTAATGTGTAAATACTCCCGCCGCAGCAAACCTGCCGACTAAGCGAATTACCATTTGTCTGAATTGATTTTCAATTAAATCTATTTAAATAAACATTAGGTTTATAACGAGTAGGCTACCTATGGTTGCTGCAACAAGGAAACTAATAAAGTGTGTTTTTTTTAGTAAAATATCAATAGCTTAGTAGCCTACAAGATAAATAAATTTGCCAAGTTTGAACAAAATATATCCATAAACAAGCAATCTACAGTAGAATCTTGATTATCTGACCTAAACCGGCCACGGCAAGGTCGGATAACATGGAAAATAAAAAAAACGACGTTCGTGCTGGAGTTGTTACTGCGGGATGAGTTAGCCATCACTCCGCAAACGTTGGACATGTTGAAGATGGTGCCTTGATCGCGGAAGATGTTGACGATCGCGCCGTGAGCGTTGAACATGTTGACAATGCTTCCGTATTCGCGGGAGATGTTTGCACTGGCGCTGTGACCGTGGGAAGAGTTGGCGACCGAACTGCACCTAAGGGACAGGATCCGCTTGAAGTAATTTGGTCTGGTTGGGTTGAGAGATAACTTACTGCAACTAACTTTGTAGGCTACCTACTTCGTATGTTCTTTACAAAAGTAACTTACACTCTAGCTGAGCATCAGCATAATGGTTAAAAGCTTAGCTAAGACGGAACATTTGTTTTGATAATGATGTGAAGGCCATGTAGCAAAGGTCCTAATGCCATAAACTTTATTGGGGGGAAAATATGAACAAAGATCAATGGTTTGACTTATTACGAGACAAATAAGTTTATTTAGGCCTAACCCTTACCAGCGATGATTCCTTTAAATCCTGTTCCTGAGGCTGGAGCTGCAGCACCATATTCTCTCATCCATGGTCTGAGATAAGGGCCTTTGAAAGTGTTGGGATTTGACATAGTCATCTCTTAGTTAAGTACAGTAACTTATTCAGGCAATCCAATACCTTTAAAGTGTGTAATAGTCCTCAAAGAGTTCAAATTAATGTAGCAAAAAATACACTTTGCGTTCTAGATTGGGTTAACTTAACTTATATAGTCCATGATGAAAATAAACACAATTAAAAAATGACTACTAGAACTTAACTTTTTTGTATTCAGTATTCACCAACAGTTCCGCGATTCAAGGACTTTAAACACTGTTCACTTTCACTAAATTTATAAATAAACTAGGCCTTCACTTTAAGCTAGGTTACTTCACTTTTTAATTTTATTATTATTAAATTAATATCTGTCCACCTAACAGACAGAGAGTAAGTAGCTAACTAGTTGTTCAGTTGTTGTTAGGACTAGTAAATGACACAAAACTTCAGTCTTGTGAAGGCTCAAGTCTTCGGCGTCACGGCGTCGGTGTCAATGAAGTGTCAAAAGTCCGTCGCCACCGTCGCCTTCGTCTACAAGTCTGACTGACTTTGACATTGACAAACACCAAATGGGAAAAAGAACAAAGCTAGTAAACTGACTTAACTAAATGTTAATTTCATTTTCATCCAATCATCTACAATATTTTGATGTCATCGAGTTTTTCACAGAGTATAGTATATGAAAGGAGGTGGGATATAATACTATACACAATATACATGGGATTATGCATGCGCTATGATACGCAACTAATTTACGGCTAAAAAGGAAAGGAAAGGACCTGGTCCTAACACAGCCCTGACGGGGGTTCAGCTTCCTGTCAATCACGATATGATAGCTCGTTTTTCGTGTCTAGTTTATGTCCGGTGACACCGATCGCTAGTGTCCACAACATTTTGTTCCTATTATTTTGGGGTTAATTTAATGATTTGTGCTTTACTGTTTTGTTATATAACTATTAATGGAGTTATTGTTTATGATTATCGTTTTATTTTGGTCAAATAAGGTTTTTAAATTACTGAAATAACAATAAACAAATTGTTGGCAAAAACACGACCTCTACAGTACACCGGACAGAATTCAAAATCAAAACTTCTTTAATTGTTTCATGTACAGCAATACAACTAACAATAAAGAACTAACAATAAAGTTGGCTTCAGTTGTTCTATACTGATTAAAAGTCTTCTAAAACAAGCCTATGTTTTATCTATAACCATAGCATCGTGTAACCGTAGCAAGCAGACTATTTTTCTAATACTTTTCCCAATTCAAATCCTATATTCCTAAATATTGCTAATATCCAATCCCATTCCAATTCCCATTACTATACTGTACCACTGTACCTCTTTTGTTTTGGACGTTTTGGTTTCAGATTCAGAAATCAGAACAGACGTTTTAGTTTTGGTCGGTCGAGTGTTCCACGCTTACGTTTATGTAAGCAAGCATAGCATGTCGATGTCAGTCAGTTGTTGAACGTTCTGTAGTTATATCTAATGCAATATGCATTTTCAGTGTAAACTGAACGAATTCTACCATTTTAATATCTAATTAGTAAATACACTTTTTTACAAAATATGTACGCTAAAGGAAAAACGACAACAGTACCTTCGGATGCTCAAGCTCGAGAAAAGTAAGGAAATGAATCACGTCATTCTTGTTTTGTTAAGGTTATGTTTAGTTTACTTACATGTTAATAGTCTTTTTACCAACATTTTGTCTAAACTAACTAATAAGTTAGAAGCTAGTAATATTAAATATCTGTTTATGTCTCATCTCATAATTACATTCCTTTTAAAACTGCTTAAAACAATTGTGCCCTTGCACCATAAACAAGTTTATTGAAGCCCATAACGGTGTTTTAGAATATGTTCTGTACTTCACGTTTTCAATTGGGAATGATGAAGTGCAGTCACTTATAATACTTGAAAATATTTATGCAAAGTTTGATAGGAAATAGCTTTCAAAGGATCCCACTGACAATATAAAAGGACCATGGCCCCTTTGTGTGCCAGGAGATTGTAAACAATTCCCTCACGTCAAAGTTTGTGAACTTAATACCAGCCTAACTTTTTATATTATTTAAAATGGTTGTTTTAGCATGACCCCACAATTTATTTTAACTTACTTCCTCGAGTTAGCCTGATCATGTAATTTGTTTAAATGGTAATTCTGAACTTTTAACTTGGTCAACCAAATTTTTTTCATATTTTACTACGGTCATCAGGATGTTCTCCGAAAGCAAGAAACATATAATTCAAGCCCTGCAAGGTTAAGTTAGGTTAGGTTTAATTAACCTAACCTAACATACGGTACTGTCACAATTGGTCTTAGAGATGTGTGAAAATAAAAAAACGTAATTCTATTCCAACAGTTAAACGTGTGTTTTTCTTCATTTAACGCCATCGACCCACCACATTGTAGACACACTTTGCTACGTTGCAAAACGCTGTGTTTGTAAAGAAACATGTTAACTTTTCCTGATCTTCACTTAAAACCGTGAAACTAAGTATCGTGTTCTCACATCCGTCACATAGAAAAGGATTATCGGACGAACCACTAGCCATAGCCATAATGTACTGTCACAACTGGCCTTCCGCGCGTCTCCCGCAAGCCAATGTTATCGCTTGGACTTTGAACCTTCTTATTGCTCGGCAACCTGTACGATGGCCTTGCGGGGCTTGAATTATATGTTTCTTGCTTTCTGAGAACATACTGATGACTGTAGTAAAATATCGTATGAAAAAAATTGGGGTTGACCAAGTAATTGCTCAGAATTGCTGTTTAAATTTAAGATTTAAGTTATTGAGCCGTTCGGTCATTGACTAAATATTGGACAGGACACTAAAACTAGGTACGGTACAAAAAAGAAATAACCTATGCAATGCATCCCTCTTGCCTTGCAAACAAAAAGTCCAAAGAGCACACCATGCCAAAATACAATAAATGAAACTGTAGCCTATAAGTTAGCATGCAGAGGAGAAAATGTAAAATTTAACAAAACAGAAAAAACGCATAAAGGCTATTTGTCACCCAATGTATTTTTTCATTGTTAAGATCTTTTGAAGTACCGTAGGCCTCAATACAATTTTACTAAAAAAACTGTATTCATGATAACTTGCTCTTCTGTTCTTCAATTAGGGTGCAGCTACCATACTATCGATTGAAAATATCAAAGTTTAAACAATCGATACATATATTATCTAACACAAAGAACACACGGCTCGTAACGGAACGTGTATTAGGCGTCCGGCTGTGACGTCACCGGGTTGTGGAGGCCCGGAACACCATTACCACAATGATACGATATACAGCCGTCGGTTGTTCGTAGTGTAACAGATAGAGTACTCGGCTGATGTTCAAGAGATACTTAGATTGAAACCCATCGGTGACTGTTAGGCTGAGTCTGCGTGCAGTATGGCAATTTTTAAACTATAAAAGTGGTTAAGCTATTTTTAACTACCCCCACCACCTCAATTTGCCCACAAAACATCTGTTTACTGCTGTCAAGTGAGTCCAGTGACCACAGAATTAAATTTTTATTTTTTTTATTCTGTGGTCGCTAAATGAGTCAGTATTGAGTTTAGCTCTGACTTTATAGCAGGCCCACTCACTCGACACTCAATGGTTTAGTTGAACACAGTGTTGCCAGATTGACCGACGTAAATTATCGTACAAGCAGTCGAAAATTATTGTATTTGGGGCAAAATGATTGAACACGCAATTTTTTTGATATTATGATGTAAAACGAGGAAGTCGATGATGAAATCACCGAAATTTAACTCTATTTGTCTCTGTCGCCCACCACTTTTTGCTCTATCAGTCTATCACTGAGCTAGAAAATATAAATTCTACTGGAGGCAGCACTATCACACACACGGAATCTGCATCTCTGCTAGAAAAAAAAGTTGAAATGCTGTAAAATGTTGTTATTTTGGTTCTCAACTAGAAAAATCAACCAGCTCATTGCGTTATTTCATTCCCCTACTGCCAATGTACTGAGTTCAATAATTAATTGAAGGTACAACGTACTCTACCCCTAGTACAGATGGCGACCAACTTCTCTCAAAATTCTCTTATAAGCACTTAAGTTGGTAGCCAATGGGCCCTCTCTAACACAGCTGATGCCTTTGCAAGGTTGCCAGATCGAACAGCAACAAAGTGATGTTACTGTTTTTCCATATATTACAAAGGGAAACGTTTTTTAAATGTATATACAATATGAAATAGTTTATTTTCTTAACACCGAAAAATAATCGTACTTTATGTCAAAAAATCTTACACAACATCAAAATTACCTATCGTACAATTTTGCAAAATTATTTTTTATGGGGAAGTAGCAAAAGTATCGTAGGCCTACAAATACGATAATTATCTCACACCTGGCAACACTGGTTGAACAGTTGACTCTGTGTTCTTTGTTGAATTGTCTTGCTGTGCGTGAATCTACTCTTATTAAATTCAGTTTTAAAAATGTTTGTGCAACTAAAGATCTGCAGTTCTACTGGACTGATTTATTAATCAATGGGTAGTTAGAAAGCACTTTTTGCAATCGGGACATCTCTTCCCTTGAGATGCTGTTGCCGTATGCAGGAAAACAGTATTGGAGCACTGACAACACTAGTGACTGTACCAGCTGCAGTTTGGCTGTCTCTGGCAGGATGTTTTTGTACCGGTACAGACCACGCAACCTTCCCAAAGCCACCTGGGAAACATACAGTAAGTGGTGTGGTCCGAGAATGTGAGGAAACTGTCAAGTACTACACCCAGGGTCTTGAAGGTATCCCTCACTATTAAATGAAATGATTTATTGTCGTTAAAACTATGTACAAAGTTCTTGACAATCGTCAAAAGAAAAACAAAACAATCAAGATGGCTCTGGCAACTAAAATATCTAAAACTCTAAACCAAAGTACTCTTCATGTTTATACTTTTATAGTATACTTATACTACTAAAGGTTTTCCTGTGATTTGAACGTGCATGTCTCCATTTGCCACTCTGTGAAGAGTAGTGGGTATAGCAATATGAAGAATCATGCATTTTTCAGAGTTCAATTTTAAACCATGTTTACGTGACCACTCACTTATTCTCAGAGTTATAGTCAAGTACTGGGTGGGTTGAACAAATCAACAACTGGGCCTAGTAACTGGGCCGAACATCTCACCTGCCATACTTGACCCGTGTAAACCAGGCTTTATAGACCAAAGTTTTGACCCATCTAAATGGCAATAAACAGAAACATATGATTACACTGCAATCAAAGAATCATCTTCATTGTCAAAGATTGTCCACCTTTTAAAACGGCTTCTAGTTTTACAAATCCAACCATATTTTAAATAACAATAGCCAAAAAGTTGTAAAATGCAAAAATAAATAATGATTTTGGTAACAAAACATAAGAAGTGTGTAAGCTAATGGTGTTTCCATATTTGGTTGAATATTTGTTTGGGCCATGTGGTAACCAAGAAAGTCGCCGATGGGAAATCAATTTAAATTTTTTTGTTCAAGAACAGGAGTTAATATGCACACATCTTATTAAGTGAGTAAAAATCACGAGGAGGGCGGACTAAAAAAAGTGACTGAGGTCGGCACCAGCGTATAGGCCCATAACCGTTTATTCTTCTAATATCACACAAAAGCATTAAAGCCTAGAGTAGACTCTTATTGATTACAGGTAATAAACCACAGCGGTACAGGACTGAAGTCTGAACCTGATGCTAGGCCTACTATAGTATTTTTTTTTGTTTTCCATGCTATCAGTGGCCAAGGGGGGTTGGGGGGTCATAACCCCCACCTCCCTTGACGAAAGGATTTTGCCATGATCTGATCACTAAGCCTTAGTTTGCCAGGACCAGCACATGATAATGTACTTTAAAAAAATCTGTAATTTTTATTATTTATCTAGTAAATTTACTATGTAGACCTTTCAATATTTTAATATGTCTTTTAATATTTTATATTTAATATGTACGTACCAAAACTACCTTTTGTGAAGATACAGTCTGAACTCATAATGCTGTTTTCCCGTCCCCAAAATCAAGGGATTAAATAAAAATTCTAGATTTAAAGGTTGAAAATTCAAAATTTTCTGTTTAAAGTAATTAATAAAAAAGTGCAAAAGCATTGGAGACATTTTAAGAACTTAATAGAGCCCCAATTAAGGAATAATAATATTTGTAAAACTATTATCAGACTATGGAGGTTAAAATTATTAAATTATATCATAAATTAATGTTAAAACTTAAACATGGATCTTATTTTTCTGAAAACAAACTATTAAAACATAACAAAAAGTTTAGTAGCTATCTATTAAAAAAATATTAGGGGAACTATCAAGTTGACAACCAATAGGCCAAAATGTTGAGCAAATAAACAATAAATATGTACCGTAATGTGTACAGCTCGTGACACCTAAGCTGGCACTTGCCCTAGCGCGGGCAGTATAGGCGGGAGGAGGGTGGAGGTAGGGAAAAGACCGGACTGCAAACATTTCCGCTGCCTCACGGGGTTGACTCCCCTTGCATTGTACTTGAGCGCCTTCAGATGGGTCGCGAGGACAGTTGATGCAACCCGCATGACGGGACATAATGTTTTTGAAATAGGTTCTAGTAGCGATCGGCCAAGTGCCAGCTTAGATGTCACGAGCTGTACATAGTTGTTAAAATCACGGTTGTCCATAAACATCCAAATTCTGTTAATTCCGAATTAAGTAGTTTGTTTCAGACTTAATATTAGTAAGCTACTGTATATGATTTAGATTAATTGTCATTACGGTATACAAACATTAGTGGCAGTAAAATATGGAAATTAAAAATCTCAAATACGAAAATATGGGGTCTTAAATTTTGAAACCAAGTAGGCCTACAATATTAATATACAATACCGAACGTACTGAAAAAATTAAAGCTCCCAGTTATATTTCGGGGGGTATTAGACCTAGGGGTTGCGGCATTATCACTTAGATAAAATCCATTGGTGACTTGGCGAGGATCGAACACGGGACCTCAGAGACTGACGTCCCGTGCTCTAACCACTACGCAAGCTCGCTCCCCCCTACATACATATATAAGCCTATAGCAATATGAACCCCCTCCCCGTACATATGCCTATTCCTGGCTACACTACTGCATGCTATAGTAAAGAGATAAAAAAAGGCAATTGGATGTAAAAATGTGGTACACATTTAGTCTTCCTGCAAGGGCACTGTAGACAGTATATTCTAATGCCAATATACATCATATTTAAAAAAATTTAAAGATCTGTGCTAAAAGAAATGGAACTTTGAACACACTAATAGAAAGTAATGGAATTAAAAGTCTAAAAGAAAAGAAATAAAGCAGAACCTAGCAATAAGCCATCCAAGAAGATAAGGTGGACACAGTAATAGAGAACAACGATGATGATAGCATATTGTAGTAAACGAAAGTTAAATTGAAAACTTATAAGTTTTAACTTAGTTAAATGAAAGCATAGAAAATGTCGTACACTTACTATGGACGATTCTACTCTTCACTTTTACATGTTTTTTGTATGTTTTTACCACTTAAAAAGCCTGAGTAAAGTCTTGATAGATTTTAATTGTATGGTAACTTTATAAATAACATCAGAGATACTCAATTAAATTAATAGTCATATTGAATGAGATAAAAACTGTGTTATTAACTCAAGCTTCTACCCTTTATACCCATAGGCAGCATGGGTATAACGTAGGCCTAACTAATAGCATCTATGTAGCTAAAGGCTAGGTGTGCTTTACTTCTCAAAATCTCAAAAAAATTACCAATCGACCATAAATCTAAAAAATTACCAGATGATAAATTTGTAAAAAATTACACAGAGTTCAAAATGAGTTATAAATCTTTTCCGATTAACAAAATTTAGTGTTAATAATATTAACTTACAGGTTATTAAAAATATCTCAAAAGAAATCCTTATGTCCAGCTGCAAATAGGCTAGTAGTATAGTGTTTAAAGCCGCGTTTACACCAAAGTCTTCCACTAAGTTTTCCACTAGTTGCGGACACTTGTTACTTTTTCTACAAAATGCGATGACTTTCTGTTGTCCACTAGTGGAGGGAAAAGTTGTCCACTAAATTTTGGTTTCCCGCGGAGAGTCGGTAAAGATCAAAGAACGTTTACAACAAAAAGTGGGAGACTAGCTGCTACACGCTTTGCGCAAGCAACTTGTGGAAAACTAGTGGAGAACTATTCCCCCCCCCTCCACGTACCCCGTGTGAGGCCTTTATGACTTTCCTGAAGTTAGTATCATTTTTCTTGACTTTATGTCCGATCATAGAAATTGAATATTCAAAATCAATACTTGTCATTCTCAGGAAGCTTTTTACGCTCCCGTTGCACCTCAGCTCACCACTCAACGGATCGACGTCATCTTCTCGGAGATCATCCAGCATGTCACTGCCACTGTACTTATCCCTAACCATCAACGAGGGTCTCACCCAATATCTTCGTGGACCTCTTGTATAGTGGCTGGCTATAATTACACAAGCAGTCGCGGCAAAGATTGCGTCTTCTTTGTCTGACGACATCCTTGACACTACTGTGTATAACTGTACTGATCAATTCATGCCAATAATTTGGCAACAAGTTTTCCACTAGTTGCTCTAAATTAATGAGGAGCAACATTTAGTTGTAAACTTTTAGTTGCAAAGTTTTGGTTGTAAACTTTTGGCTGTTAACTTTGGTGTAAACGCGGCTAAAAAGTATAGTTTATTAATTTGCCGTGATCAATCCAACAACTTGAAATTAAAATATACTGTCCTATATGAAAGGAGTTGGCTATTCTTTTTTTTAAATGCAATTTTTACTTTGTGATAAACACTTAAGTAACTTTAAAGTACAGTATTTGAATAGTGCTTTGAATTAAGCCTCATTACCAAGATCAACTTTTAAATAGTTGTTCCTTAGAGAACTTTTTCTTTCTGGCCAATTTAGATAGTACTCTGGGAATGTTGATAATCATTGATTTTTGTTGTTGTTACAGATTGGCGCTATATGTATATGAGTATCTCTTGCACGTTGGAGCGCAAAAAGCTGCTCAAACCTTTCTATCTGAGGTAATATGCTGCATATACTAATAATGCTGGACCTATTACTAATTTTAAGTGTGTAAGGCTTCAAAATCGTTTCATAACAAATTTAGCATTATTAGAAGGCTCAAAAATTGAATATCAAAATGTGAACCGGAATATAAATTAAACATACAATAACCAAGTTTTTGTTACAAATAACCAAATCATAAATACCCATTTGGAATGTTTGAAGCTTTGTTTGGTACTTGGTTTGCGATGGTATCTGATAAATGCTCAGGGTTCAATTTGAGGACGAACACGTTGGAACAACACTCTTGGACAACTCTTAAGGAAATGTACATTCAAATTTTAAACAATTTTAAAGGAAGACTTCTAAATAAATAATAGTGCGTTTTGTTTTACAGCTGTTTGGTTGCTTTATGTTCCTACAAATTAATGTTTTTGGAGTGACGGAAATTAGATGTGTTCATAACTCCTGTAAGGCTGGGGCCACACATCGTGGTTTGGTGGTGTTAGTACTCACGGCGCAATTGAACCGTTTCCTTTTGGGTTTCCTGCCCTACGTCTAGGTTCATTCCACTCACAGTAGTCATGGTAGCATAACAAACTGATGTTAACTTGTGCGTTAGAAGCGTGTTGTGAGGTGGAATCAAAGGTTAACATAAATCACTGGGTCTCCGTAACAGATAAACCATTTGTGTTTCATACTTTTTACAAGCTCATGCGAAACCGTAGTGTGGAGTTTTCTTGGTAATTACTGTATGTCAATAGCATTGATGGACGAGCTACTTGAATTTATCCGTTCTCATATAATCAGGAAAAATACAGTCATGAGACATTCAATTAGTGGCAAAGAGCATCTGGCGTGACAGGTAAGATGCTCTTTACTCTATTATAATTAATAAATCACTACAAATGGCAGAAGAAGAGCTCACCCCATGTAGTCAAACCGTGACATCTGGTGTGTCTCATAAAACTGCTTGTGTCATCCCTCCAACGCAGTTTAGCTTGATGCATTGCAACATGGCCGCCAGGCCCCTAGCTCGCATGTCATGAGTGCCCAACCATTGATTCAATGTGTTGTCAGTTGTTGGAGCTTGCGGCTCGACCGCCAAGCAAAACCTCGTTGTGTAGCCCTGGCCTTATGGTTTCATTTCCAAAATCTATAATTCTACAAATTACTGAGTATGATACAATTGAGGAACTTTTAGTTGACAAGCTAATAAACTGAATAAGTATCTTTAAATATTAGATCCATATACCGAGAGTTAGTAAACTCACATTATAAGGTTTTAAGCCAAACTGAATATTTACCTAACTCAATGGTTGTGATTTGTGTTTATAAAAATTATCTTTAGCTTAGTTAAGTAATCAGTAAGTGCACACATTTTTGCTGATGGAATAGAAGTATTAATATGAAATATTGAGTTTTGGTTATCAATTGTTATTGGGAATTTGTACAATAAAGCTTTGTCTATTGTCTATTTGTTTTTTTATTGAAAGTTACAGCTACATCAAACCAAATTAATTTCATTACCGTCAAACGGGGCTACTTTGTAAGGATTTATTTTTATTTTCTTAATAACTTTTTTATTTATGAAGATATTTTATTGGAACAAATTGCTAATTGTCCGTATTTGTATAGGCTATCAAACTATGTTTAGGACAAAAATTCAGTGTTCATACCTAATAAAAAAATTTTTTTTGTAGTGTACAAAGTAGCCCCAGGGTCGGTGCTATTTTGTAACAGTCATTACATTTCCAAATAACTCTAAGATGTTAGGCTTGGGGCTGCTTTAAAACATACTTTTGATAGCTGGGGCTATGTGGGACAATTTGGGACAACTTTTATTTTTATATCTCTATTACTTTGGGAATTGCAGCTATTAAAAAAAAACCTTACGTGGAGATTATGGTACATTCTAAGGGGTTTGTAATATATACATGAAGGCAACTATATAGAATTGAAATTATGCATGCAATGTGTAGGCAAAGAGTGTGGTTAACATAACAAAATTGATAAATGGCTCTAAGTTACAACCTGTTATTTTTTTGTACTATCCCATTATAGATTGTTATTGACCACAAGACCTAAAAATCTCAACTGATTCTATTTCAATACTTTTTTCATTTACCTTTAAATTTGGGTTGACTTAAGTTATGATTGTTCAATTGCTGATCCAAACTAGCAAGTTCTATTAGACTTTAAATTTCTATGTCTTGTGATGAGCGACCGGATATTTTCAAACTGGCATCATTGGCATAGAGACGTAATGCGGAGGACTATTCATACGATTCAGATAGCAAAGAAACAAAAGCCACCCCAGAATTGATCCCTGGGGCACATCAAATTTTATCTCTCTGATATCAGAATCATATTTAATTACCCTATGCAGTTACTGTCAGTGATATAGTTTAGCTGGACAAATTGTTTTCTATCAGTTAGGTATGATTCAAACCAACTTAATGAGTTATTTCTTAAACCAATTACTTCTAATTTTGGCAAAGTAATGAATGGTCAACACTGACAAAAGCTTTAGACAGGTCCATGAAAATGCCTACTATTTTTTCTCCTTTATCAATTGAGTCGATAATTGATTCAATCAAATTTATAGCAGCTGTTATTGTTGATTTTTGTTTCCTAAAGCCATGCTGATTACTATGTAAAATTTACTAAAAATCTACTATAAACTAATTTTCAAATATTTTTGAAATAGAAAGCAGTAGTGAAACTGGTCTGTAGTATGTACTGTTTTTGTTCTGTTCCACTTTGACACACTGCATTGGGTAGCTGGGATCTACCAATGCAAATCTTTCTATACCTGGCCGAATTTCCCCGTCACTTAATGACTAACAGCAAAGGAAATATGAACGTAAAACTGTGAATACACCATGAATTTAATTTTAAAGTTTGAATGGAGATCCTGGTTGGTTTTACTTACCTATCACCTCATATCCTAGATGGAATAGGTAGTTCTTTCTGATAGTTATTGATATGATATGTGTTCTGTTTTTAATGTTTACTATTATTCTACTTAGTTAAATGCTTTTTAGATACGCTGGGAAAAAAATATAACTTTGGGTGAACCTCCTGGCTTTCTTCATTCATGGTGGTGGTAAGTTTATATTTATTCAAGCCTATACTGTAGATGTATCGTACGATTTTTATCCTATTCGTCATGAAACTGCAAACATAAGCTTGTTGTTTCAAAAAACTTAAAACTAATATTTTAGCAAAAGTGTTGTAGGAAACAAACGTTTTTTATTGAACAGTTTGGTAATCCGACAGGTAAGAGACCAGGTTTGTGTTAGATCACCAAAATTGTCAGATTATCAAGGTTGGGGGTTTCTTAATGGATTTCATCAAGACAAATATGACTATTATTTTCTAATGCAGTATTACACATTTGGGACAGTATAAAAACTTTGTTGAAAGAGATGCATTTTAATTTGCCAATTGCTATCAACTCAGTTTACAGTTTAAAACATTCTAAATATATTAAGCTACGATAGTTTTCTACGTCTAAAATCTTTTACTCAAAATGATCACAAACCCTCAATGATTGTAGAAATGTTATATGAATTGGGAATTTGAGGTGCCCAGATGACTGGACAAGTCCCAAATCCTCTGTCTCTCGCAATTGTGGCAACAACTGTGAGCACATCTTGCGGTCTCAGCGTTGCTACTGATCGTCTCTCAATCGCTGTTCATCTGTGATCGTCCTTTTGGTTAACCGACGTTTCAGATTACCAGGCTTTAGAAAAAGGTTTTAGGCCCCTAATTAACGCTCTATTGTACTGTATTTAATTTAAACCTCCTACATTTAGATACACATTTTTAACTATGTGATTTTTTACTTCCAGTGTGTTCTGGGACCTATATTGTGCTGCTCCTGAGAGAAGGGATACTTGTGAACACTCCAGCGAAGCCAAAGCCTTCTATGATCATGACTATGTAAGATGATTCTCAAAAACTGTATTCGCCTATTAACCAAACTATTGTCCTAATGATATCAACGATGGTATCCTGGATCAAGAATTATCTGATGGAAATATAGCTAAAGATGTTAGATAGTAATTTGTCTTACAGCATTGTATTAGTTTACACAAATTAAATTGCTATCAAGTTTTATTAAATTTAAACTTTAGTATTACTCAAATCAAATCAAAATTATAAGGAAATATATTTTTCCACATAGGCATAAGCTTGTATGCAGAAAAATAGATCTTAATCTGCTATAAACAATAACTGTTTTCTAATTAGCTTTATTATATGGGGATTTACCAGCGCCTCCGTAGCCGTCCGGCTAATGCTGGCAAGCCATGTACTCACCTTTTTTTCGTACACCGGGACACTGCTCTCCTCATACTGCAGGATTTGTGGCGGAAGATTGCGATATAACATATGGGCGATAAAACATGGGTTATTTTTAGGGAGGTTATATTTAATCTAGGAAATTGGTAACCAAAGTTGATTCTATGTCTTGTAGAATAGTTATGCTGCAAATTGGTAAAATGTTATTTTTGTTTGACCTAATAAAGACTAAAAAGGAAATACAAATAATTGTTGTATATCATGAACACAAAAATCTGAGTACAGATCCTCTGTTGGATATCTCGATGGTTTGCTTAGGACGGTTTTGATAAATGACCTTTGTGCAACAGCCAGAGGCTCAAGCATAGAGGCCGAGACACCGCCCCCATGCCAGTATACCATATTGAAGCAAAGACTGCACGTAGGCAAGTAAACTGTCCAACAGTAATCCGTGGTCAGCACTCCAGCAAGTTGAGAAAATGCATATATGAGCTTTCTAAGTGGTTGTTTGAGATAATGAATGTGGTGAGCCCAACTAAATTTTTGATCAATTATAATTCCTAGGTAAGTGTACTTCTCTACCCACTCTATAACGTCACAAGTACAAGCCCCTGACCGCAGGTATGAAGAAATAGTTGCCTAGGGCTAGGGTCCTTTTCACTCTTAAAAAATATAGGCTAGGTAAACTTAGGGGGGAAATTAACTTTGTCTTCAGATTTTGTTTTAAAACATCCGTGTCGTAGTTTGCGATGAAATAGCCCTGTTTAGGCAGAGGCTACTAGCAATGATCGGCAAACGCTTGCTTAAGTCTAAGTCAAGCGAAACCTGACAACCAAGATTAGGCCTAAGTGTTTGGTGATCTTAATGTATATTTGTGTGGTGATATGGCTAAGCTACCACCAGTGCAGGATCGAGCTTTATTCATCCCATCTTATCTTTCAAATCAGTGGTATACACATGGATGTTTTGCATACGAACACATTCAAAACATTCATGCGTCAGTCCGGCGAAGATCAGTCATTTTCGCATTGCACTTACTAATATTGCTCATGGAACGATAAAAGAGGAAGATTATATTCTTTTCTTTACGATTCGTATAAATACTACCACCAAAATCGTAGAAATATGCAACGCTGTTTGTATCAGGACAAGAAAAGAAGAGGCGCTTTTGTGACTGACACCTAAATGAATTGGCTAAGCTGCATAGTCCTGTAGCATTCATTCGTATCATGGACAAACCTTCAATAGCCGCAATATTGAGTTCCAATGAATGCAAATCTTTTGGAAATATCTCCATATTAGCCTAAAGATATTGAGTCATGTAACGCCACAACCTTTGGACCGATGCAGTATTAGGTGCTGTTGGCACTGTCCACAATATTTTATACAAACATGAAGACTTCTTATCACATTTGAAAATGCTTTTATATGTAATAGTTGAATTTAGTAATTATTATAGATGACCTATCTAATAATGTGTTAGCGAATGTCCCTATTTTTAACTAAATTTTAAAACGTGGCATTTTGTGTGCCGGAAAACTATTTTTATTGACACCAGCCTTTCACAAATTCCAAGGCATGACCCTGAACCAAGCAGTTGATGATATTGGACCAAGAGAATTCAGTGCTGGGTTGACGTGTGTAGCAGAAAGCCCGTCCGAACGATATATGGACTGCTTTCGACTCAGAATTTCCAAAAGAACGCCTGAAAAAGAAACTAGTCGAAGATAAATGTTTGGTATCACTGTTATTAGTTGGAAATGTTCACATTCATTGAAGTTAATTGACCAACCAATAAAGGTTTTTTCTACACAGTCTTTCGACTATTTGAAACTGTAGGTAAAAACCATTTTGGAGCTTTATGGTGAGTGTCAATGGCATTATAATGCCCTGATGACTCCGCTCAATTTTGTGGACGCGTTTGCGAACACTACCTAGTTTAATTAATGCTTACTTTTTCAGGGATTTGTCAACTCAGGCTACGGTGTCAATGGCATGGGACATGTAAGTAGGCTACATATCATGTGTTAAAATTATTTTACCTAAAAATAATTTTGTTTGTTACACTTTTCAACCATATTGTTTGGAATAAAAAATATCTTTTGTTGTATATCATGTATCTATCAAAAATTCAATATGAAAATTAATTTTTGGCTAATATTTGTCATTTAATAACTGTGTACATGCTATACATTTTTCGTCCTAGAGAACTAACAGTGAACAGTGTAAGATAACCTCAATGATCTATCATTTGCTTTACCTAGTTTACTTACTTATCTTTTTTCCATGAGTTTTCTGGTGGAGGATAGGGTCTTTACAAAGACTTTACAATGGTCTGTCTAGTCTGCTGAAGCCCACGTCATGTCTTGTTTCCCCAAATCCCAAGTTGATTGGGTACACTGACTTCATTCTGGACTGAAACCCAACTGTTAACATTTAATCAAATACATTTTCTCATTATATTATGATTAAGCCTCCTGGGGAACTTTTAGTCTTTGAATATTTGGCATTATCACTTACGTGAGGTTTTCCATCTCGTCTCTCAGAATAAAAGAATCGACTTCTGTCATAAAGCTGTGTTTCCCCAAATCATCTCCATCTTGTTTTACGGATTTCTAACCTATACTTGTTCATCTCAGCATGGATTATTGTTAACTATCCAGTTCCCCACCAAGTTCTTGCATTCCAAAATCCAACCATGCTTTATTTCTTTTAGAGATGTGTATATACGAATATTTATCAATTATAGATACTGATACCATAAAAATCAATTCTCAATTCTCGATACCAATTACCAATACAACTTTTTTTATTTTACCAAATCTTCATTATGGATTTGTCAAACTACACCAACCACTGTCTTTATGGCCTTACACAAAGTAATTTTGGGATATTTGGGCGTTTTTGAAGTAAAGAAAAAAAATCATGCAGAAATGGAAAATTCTTTATTCTAACTAGCCAATCAAAATTTAAACTGAAAACATTAGGGCCTATTGTCTTTCGCTATGCCTCCCGCAATAGTAACAAAATCCTGAATATCTCCCATCGGTCATGGAAACTTACTTCCACAATCGCGGCAAAATTTCGGACATATGTGTATAGGTTCCATATGTGTCATGGAACCTTTATCGTTGTCATCTGCAATCACTGCAAATGATTTGTCATTTTTCGTTCACGCAAACATTATCGGTATCAATTCATGATTTTTTCGAGTTTGTTTAAAACAAAGGTCAGTATTTTCTGGTCTGTCCAGTTCGGTAGTTTTCACTTTGCAGTAATAGTTGGTCTTCAAGTAATTGGGTGGTTAGCCAATTGCACCATAGCCTAAGAAGAGGCTGCAGGTTTTCTGTCAGGGCCCCTCCAACCAAAAGTCAGTGGTTCCCACCAAACTGATCTCAGAGGGAGAGAGCTTTGACCCATCATGTGTTGGCACTAGGTAGGTTTTGCCATAATGGTCAACCCTCCCCTAAGAATAAGTACCTATCGGTCGACACTTTCTTGTATTAATTTAATTTGGTAGGGTTTTTTAAGTAATGTATTTTGAAATCATAAGGTGGCAGTGTAAGTACTTACTACTATGAACCACAGGCCTAATTGTGTGTCAATATTTCCACTAGGTGACTAATCTTTAAAAATCATTATTTTTATCCCATTTTATATAGCATCACTAAACTAACTAGCTACCTGAATGGTTAGACTTTTATTGGTTATAAAATAACAATAAGTCTCATCTTCAAATTTACTTGTGCAATATCCCACAATGGTTATGTGAGATTAGGTCACTTTACTGATGCATAATATTTGGTGGTAAATTGTTTTCGAATAGTTTTGCTACCTCTTCTGATATACGGTATGTGTTTGACCAAAGACCACTTTTTTGTGGTTGATAACCTTGCCATGCTGGATAGGATTCCTTATAGAGATCTACCATCTGAACGAAATAGACTCTGGTTTTTTTTACGAGGTTACTCCTCCTTCCTGTCATTTGCAAGAAGGGGAACCTTTAGAACATGATAGAGAGGTTCGAAAGGTTGAGGCAAGAAAAGATGGTTTTTATTTGTCTACCATTAATTCTTAACCTATAAAACATGAACTGAACAAGTCAGTAGGTTTTAAAATGTTTCATTTCTACAGAACGCTGGACCATCACCCAATCCTATGGGACAAATGCCTCCAAATGATCACATGGGCCCTGGATTTTTCCCTGTAAGTAGATATTAGTAGTATACACACTGATTATTTTTACAATATAACTTTAAGTTAAGGTTTTAAGACCTAAAAGATGTTTAGGTCTTTGGCTAATATTAAGTTGCTACTCGCTATTTGCGTTATTCCCTTTTTTTAACCCTTCATAGGTGAGACCACGGAGTTTTCCTCCAGGCACATTTATTTTATAGACGAATATATCTTATTGCTAGCCGGCAGTTTTAAAGGTAACAGTTTCTGACGTGCCTCTTTCTATGAACCGATTAAATGTTATTTTGCTCTGACCCATCCCCCGCACTAACGTTTGGTGGATTCCCATAGTGTAGTTCTGTGAGTCACATATGGTGTCGTTTTTGTTTGCTATACATTTTTTTTTATTTGTCTTGTAAGAGTTTTGTGTTGATTTCATGTACAGTTTTATTGATTATACTTGGTTTTAATACATTTTATTAATATATGTATAAAATTACATTGTTTGTTAAGTGTTTCTGTATTGAGAAAAACACTCCTTGTGTCACTAATCGTGTTTTAAAATCAAAGACGACAACGAAGGGTCAACAAACTTATGTTTGAATACTGTTATCCTTTTGCCTATGTTGGGATGAAAATTAATTTGGTTGTTGTTTTTAATAACTGTACAAATGTAATAAAATAAGTAGCGTCTACACGTTTTGATTATGTACACTTATACTGTAAATATTAACAAGACATTTTTGGCCTAGAATCGTATATTTAGTTTCAAACTTTAACACCATTATTAACTTCGTTATGTAGCCTACCTATGTACCGTTGATGTCACTAACATTTTGAACCACGGTAATTAGATATTGAGAAATTGATAAACATGTAATTCCAATGTTTAACTAAAGATATACATAAAAATATATACAATAGGCCTATAGTTATTTTATTGATTTGTAAAATCAAGGAAACATTGTTTGGCCAAATGATTGCTCTCGGGATAACCTTGTAGCCAAATAAGTCACTCTTCAAAATTCCAGACTAATATTGCAGACCAGCAACACCAGATAGAACATCAATCAAACAGTTAAAGTTCCCTCAAAATGTCCAAGCAATTTAAAATTCTAAACCATAATTCCTTACATTAGATAAGGGGAGAGTTGAACCCAAGCCTTAAATTGTAAAAAAATAAAGACAGCAAAATTAGTTTAAAATTGATTTAAATTTAAGAAATTAATTTTAAACTTACAAATACATTTTAAATTTTAGCCTTTCATGGGACCACGCTATCCGTCAGGACCTCGCCCTGGTGTTAGGATGCCTCAAATGGGAAATGAATTCAATGGCGTAAGTATACCAAAATAAAATTCCATCTTTAGTTGACTATATCTAATATCACAACTGCACCACACATACTCATACAGTAGAACCTTGATAAGACGTGTCTCAAGTGGATTAGGAAAATAGTCTTGTTACCGAGGTGCTCTTTTGTCGAGTTTCTTATCATCAAGGTCATTTCGGCTAGCAGTCGTGTCATCAAGGTTATTTAAAGCTCCGAGTATCTTTGTAATGAGTGAATTACAGAACTTAAGCGAACGCATATTTGCTTTCAAATTATAATGTACACGCATAATGCACATACATAATCCCTTAAAATTACAAAAATACCTAACCTCAAAATTACATAATATAGTTTTGGAGTTGGCCTAGAACACTCTCTTTGATAAAAATCTGTTCTTCCAATGATAAATTTCAAAAAAATATTTATTTTACATTTTTAATAGTATATTTCTGTAAACTATATAATTGAAATATAAATTAACACCATAATTATTCTAAAACATGAACACTGCTGGTTACATTTCAGCATTTCATAGATCTATTACTTGACTTTATTGACAACAACACAAATCTACTTACGACACTGATTGAGGTTGCGTAGTGAGTGACACACAGTGAACTAGTAAAGTGAAGTGACATATAAAAAGTGACTAATGTCACCCATCCATGTGATGTGTGTGTTGTATCAACCAATGAGAGCGCTCAGAGATGCTTCTAAGGCAGCTCCCTATAAGCTTTGCAGGGATTAAAGCGACCTCCCCTGTCGCTTAACTTACTAATTAATAGACCATGATATAGGTACTGAGTATAAACAGGTGTTATCATTGTTGTTTGTGCTCTATTTCATTGGGGGTTCACTTGCTCATGTGTTCCTATGGACGAGCAACCACTGCTTATAAGCAGGTACACATTTATACATATAGTCTCTTTACAATACACAATACGACATAAACTGGAATAATCAAAATCTGTACTGTAAAAAACAACTTCCTGGTCATTATTAGGCCTAAAGACACCTCTTTTCCAACTCAAACCTTCCTTGGCACAGAATACTGTCAGTGACAGTGAACTTTTCTTCCTTTTTTCCCCTAAATTTTGTTTATAGTGTACAATTTTTTTTTTACCAGATTGGACTCTATCCTATTCTTTTAAGCCTGCTGTCCTGAAGAAAATCCTTACAACTAAGCCCTTGTGGCTTATATTACATTCCTAACATGTTGTGTTACTTTTTTTATGTTTAATTATATTACATTTTTAATATGTTATTGTGTTGATTTGTTTAAAGACTTAACAACCATCTCCAGGTTATAGTGAGTTTTAATGATATGATTTTAATTTGTGGGAGTTTTAAGTGTTTTTTTTTAATTTCACAGCCTCCTGGACAACCCATGATGCCTACTGGGATGGACCCGACAAGGGCAGGTAGGTTTGACTTTTTCTTTTTCCTTTTTACATTGGCAGTTTTTTTGTTGTATTTAACTAAAATCTTGAATATATCAACACTGATTAATGCTCTGGATGTTGAATACTGGATAACGTGAGATCAACTTGTTACTTTTCACAGTTTTACACCCTCAATTAGAAATCAACTACAAATCCCAAGAAATATCTGTTCGGTCAATTGGGTTGTCTGTAAATTAAGGTCTCCGTTAAGCTCCCGTTGCAGCTAAGCAAGATAGTTCAAATTGGAGTCAAGTGTCGTATTCCTTACAACATAGGAATTGTTCTCAATACTAATCTAGCTGGTTTCTCACCCTATAAAGAAGGCAAGTCTAGTTTTAGTATTCAAAAACGTTAAAAAAATTGAAGTTTCCACCAAGTACATTCTGTTACTATTGCCAGTTAACTGATGAGAATGCAGATAAGTGTTTGGACGTAGAAAATGAACATAAATAGCTTAGAGAGTTTGACAAAGGCCGTACATGTTTGCACAACGCGGCTGACAATGGGTGTTCCATCATTGGTTTCTATCGATATATTGATCTTATTTAAGTAATCTTTGCTGATCGGCGTGTTTCAGACTTCTAATAGAGATGACTATTGAGATGACTATTAGTTTGGCAATCTCTCTTGTGATTTGCATGTAAGATTCCCTCAAATTTGATTACTGCTTCAAAAGATGAACGACAGCAGTCGGCCCACACCTTGGAAAACATAATGCAATTAATTGTTTTAAGACCACCTTCACCTCTTGCTCACATTTTCTACGTCCAAACATTTAACTTCATTCACGTCTGTCAACTGGTGATGGTCTTCAATAGTGGTTGGTGACTGAGACCACAGATATCTTATCACAGAATGTTGAGGAAATTGACAGGAAAGCAGGCTTACCTTTAAATAAGTCCATAGAGACACATATAAACAATAAGTCCATAGAGACACACATAAACAACACAAAAGTAGACATTTTCGAGGTCACTGACCACTTTTTCAACCACTACTTGCTCTAGTCCGGCTTTCCTGTCAATTTCCTTAACAATTCCTGGTAAATGCCCAATCTTTATCAGATAATCAAAGAATGTGATTTTTAGTTGGTGAAAGCGTCAATTTTCTTTCACAATGTTTTCGAATACTGTGACGAGACTAATCGCCCATTAGGGCTAAGAATAGGCTGGAATAGTAGTGCTTAATGCATAGAGTAAAGAACATGATGTTGGTCTCAAAATGTAGCTCTCTTTGCTGCAACTGCAACTCGATGGAGAACTTTATTTACGGACAGCCCTCGAATAGGAATAATAATGTTGTCCAGCAATAAAATTATAATAATTGCAAATTCGCTGTAAGATTGTTTTGGTTACATATTGAGCGTAATTTGAGTGTGGACACAATTTAATTCAATTATAGTGTTTGATAGTGTTATGGTTTTGAGCAACAAACATTTTTGACTGGTCAATGTGAATGCAGCCTAACATAAAGATAGTTTGGTACTGTTTCAGATTTTCATTGCAGTGTATTTGTTTTGTATTAATCATTCCAATTCAACTGTAGGATATATTAACATTATGTATATGACACAACAAAAATGAAAAAGATGAGGATAAAGTTATTACAATATTAGACCTAGGCCTATAACATCATAAAAAGGTAATGATACATTTTCTTTTCTGTAATCTGTTACTGATTTTACAATGCTCTCCATTAATCTGTACAATGCTCTAAACAGGCAATAATTTCATATAGTACCTACTTTCGTAGAGTTTCTACTGTAAAACTTACTTTAAAACATATGCACACAATTTCTTAACGTTTTTCATGTGCCGTTCTGTTTTTCAAACATAAGCGATACTACCATAATTGGGATGATACAGGGTGAATTTCACATGTTTTATATCATGGGTGTTTTCTCTTCCTAGGTGAGGGTGGAGATTTTGTGGGATGGCAAGGTAGGCCTGAATACCAGTTATATGTCCATGTCTGTTGTCTCAATATTTATTTAATAGACTCACTCTAATCTTCATACATGTACATATTTTGTCAATGTTTTAGTTTGCTTTTACCTTCGGCTAGGGCCTACTGTTTTTTCATTGGTGGCATTAGCAGTGCTAAATGGGCAAAGATGTTGTAAATGGCTTCATCACTTAAATATTATATACCTAAATTATATAAGTTTAAAATTATTTTTAAATATCCTGTAAGCCTGGCTGTAGGGTTGTCAAACTTTTTTAGAAACTCAAGCTATTTATGCCAACAGTCAGGAAATTTATCAAATAGTTGATCCAGAGTTTTTAACTCCAATTTTTTATCATAGAGTAGACTTTTAATTTTAAGGATCACTTGTGTAGGAGTTGAAGCAATAAGAATTTTAATTCAAGCAGAATGAGTTGATCCCCCTGTATATTTAGTGTCAAAATAATGTTTCCATTTCAAACATGACTTTGTGATGTTTAGGGGATAGTGATTTATGAAAACTGAAGTTTACCAAAATTAATGCATTTAAAAGAGGCTTTGAAATAATCGCGCAGTGTTGTAATACAATATACTGCTCTACATCACTTAACTTAGACAAGGCCATTGTCTCCCCCCCACTTCCAGACTAGTACTAGTAGCCTACTTGTATAGCTATTCCCTGTCAACTCTTGTTTTGTATTCCTATTGTTAATCAATTGACTAGACATAGTGAACCTCATCTAATGAGTGGTGTTGTAATTTTTTGAATTACGAGCTATAAGTCTAAGAGGCGGTTCACGAATACGGGGTTTCGTGCTCCGCGGTTATCGTTGATCTCGACCAATTTTAACCGACGGCCAAAAAATGAGTTCACGACAGAGCGTTAGCCGAGACCAACGCTAGCTGTCGCTCAAGAGCAGGGATTTTACGGGGAACTTTCGTTATTAGGTTGGCAAAAGCCACATGGGCTACCTGCTGGGCCGCTGCTTGCGGTCGACGAGTCCCAAAACAATAGGATGACGTGATAAATGTATAATTATACAGGGTCTTAACTGATATTGTATAAAAGGTTGTGAACTTGCACTTAAATTCATTTTATACTAAAGTTTAAAGTTAATGGATTAATCATTGAATTATAAAATGAATAATACACTTTTACTGACATGTCATTGAATCGGGAAAATACAATTATGTTTTTAATAATTTTTTTAAAGAAATCCTCGTAATATTTAAATGTTTGCAAACTTAAATTTTTATCACCAATTATGTTAAAATATAAGACATACTTATCACGTTTGCAGTTTTATCCAAACATTCAAAATATTTATTAAAATGACTGTTCTTTTCAAAGATTTATGATTATCTTTTTTGGATCAGTAATTTGTTTAAAAAAATAAATTTGGAGGATAACTCGCTATAATATGAGTCGGGATGACCTCATATGTAAAAAATAATACAGTAGAACCCCTCATATCCGGCCACCACGGGACCAAGCCCCTGGCCGGATAACGATTTGGCCGGATAAACCAACCTACTATGAAAATGACAATTCATACCTAATAATAATAGGTAATCAATATATGCAATCAAAAGTATCATTTAATTGTGTTCTGGGATCATTTTTAGAAAAACAAACATGTCTGTAAAAAGGAAAAAAAAATATTTGTAGGTTAAAGTCATTACTGTAAGTAATGAATGTACAAATATTATGATTCCAGGTAACAAAACATATTAAATGGAGGTTAAAATGACAATAAATTGTACTTAAAGATCATTAGGACTTAAATGGTACTTGCATTTCTACTCAACATTCTTAACCATTTTGTGAAATACAAAAATTAATGTACTCGTACTGTACTGTACTAAATCCACTTTGGAAATAATCAGCCAACTGATCAGAGGTTAGGCCTACTAGCTCAACTGACTATAGTGACTCAGCAAATAAATGTATAAACAAACAGATAAATAATGAGAACAATTTATTTTATGACTTGAGCAGTCACAAAGACTATCGCTTGTATCTAAACATCTGTAAGGTGTGAGAAAAAAATTTTGATATTGGCTTCCTGGAAGGGGCCGGATAAACAGAGGACCGGTAAAACCAAGGCCGGATATGAGGGGTTCTACTGTAATATAAAACGTAAATGTTTTTGTTTGAAAGTGATTGTAATATAGGTGACGTAGATATTTTTTTTATTGAAAAACAAATACATATTCAACATTAGTAATTGGATAAGTGATATTAGAATACAGTATTTCATTACTGATTGTTGCCTTGTGGTCCAAAGTATTGTCCTATACGGATCCGACGATGGCGCTCGTGCCGAAATGTACATAATCCACTAGGACAATACTTGGGACCACAAAGGTGACAATCAGGTATTTTAACCTTTTATTTATTTGGCAATCAGTTGGTCCGGAATCACCACAACAAAATATGAAATGTAGCTGATTTTGATTAGTCGGTATCGACTTACGGTATATCTGGAAAAAGTATAATATCAGTCAGGAAAACCTGGAAAAGTCAGGAAATTTTATTTTCCAAATTTAGTACTAACCCTGAATTTGTTTTTTTGTTATTTAATTTTAGGTTAAGTGATTCACTCCATGAAATATGGGAAATGTGTAAAATCTAAAACAAAACATGGGATGTAGTTGGTTTTTCATTCCTAGGTATGCAATATTTTACACATGTCACTATTTACCTAAAATTGTTGGAAGTATGAATAAAGGGTTAAGTTAGTTACTCGAGCACAATACACAGCCAATAATGAATGTATAGGTGGACCGGGTATGAACCCACGAATGAACCCACCCAGAGGACCCGGAATGGTGCCCGGTTCATATGGCCCAGGACAGGGCATGCGAGGACCTCCACCTAACTCAGCAATGGGACCCGGACCCGGGGGACCACCCATGGGCATGGGACCTGGGGGAAGGCCACAATGGCAACCCAACACATCTACTGTAAGTGTGATATTCTTATTAGAAATGCTAAATAATGCTACTTTATCATTAGAGTTAGGACCGTTCCTTATCTTTTTGGCATATCATTTTGTCCCCTAATTAATTCAATTTATTTATTGGATCATTGTCCAGTACATTTTATTATTTCACTCGCTCATTCTATCTGTTCACACTGAAATATAATATTGTTTTCACAGTAATCTATTATTTAAGTACAATATTATTTTGTGATGCTCGCTAGATAGGAAGACACTAAACAGGATAGTTATGTCACTCGCTTATTCTATCATTACCATTACCAGATCCTTGATTGTAGCCCATCTCTGTATAATCGTGTCAATTACATTTTCACATACATATATTTACACTATTTACATTGAGGTTAATTTATCAAATTAAATACTTTCAATTTGCCAAAGCCGCAAGGAGCTCTCATAAGTCGGTGAAGGATTTTTTTAAATATTCTTCAACAGAGTAAAGGCTATTTATCTTTAGCCAATTCCCGACTCTTGTTTTAAAGTTCCCAATTGGAAGGATCATGACTGGTTGAGACAGAGAGAGCATTAAACATCTTAGGGCAAGCACTGGGTAGCTATCTTTTGTCAAACTTAGGCGACATTGAGGAATATGAATATTGGCTCTGTCACAAGTGTTGTACTGGTGGACCTGGTCTCTTGTTGTATAGTTTCCTTGATTCTCTTTGACCAGCAGCAGGGAATTTAAAACAAACTGACCGTGAACGGTAAGTATGCCAAGTTCAGCAAACAGAAGTCGAAAGTTCTTACGGCAATCTTCTGTTGCAAGAGAACTCAATGGCAACTGGATGAATGTCCCCAAAGTACAATACCATATGTAAGATGACTATGGAATAGAGAGTAGTATGTGATAAGCAGGTACGATGGTGTTACTAAATTTTTAAGTCTCCGAAGGATAGGCCTATAGTTTACTTTAGATAACTTCTTGCACACTACGTCCACATGGGTAGACCAAGATAATTTACTGTCTATATTTAGGCCTGAAATTTACTTCTATATTTAGGAATGAAAAGGGTTTAAAAACGTGATTGTTTGTTAATTATATACAAAGGAATTTCCGTGTTTAAACTTAGGATTGCAAATCATCAAAAATGAAACACTGAATAATACTACAATAAATGGATTTGTAGTAAACTGATAATTCAGATTTTGTTCTTCTGTTTGCCTTTTAAACTTGAGACTTTGTTGTTTATTATTTATTAGTACTATATTGTTTTAACATTTCAATTATTGATTGAACCATTGATTTAAGGGTGATAAAAGTATTGATTGAAATACCTAAATTTGCATAACCTTAGTGCAAGTAACATTGTTAGACAGGAAAAATACAATACTAATACAAACACTAACCACAAACGACATTTTAAATGACATTTTCGTTCATTTTATTGACTCAGCCTCAAGACTTTTCTCAAAATAAACAACATTTTTATTTCAGGCTATGAGCTACTCCTCTTCATCACCCGGAAAATATGGGGTGAGTAAAGTATTGTATTAAAATGAATATAATTATCAAAATTGCTAGTGGTAGTTATATTTTCTTAACAAATCATTATTTACTTGAACTGAGCTGTACTTCCAAAGGACATAGGATGGATATGGCTTGTTAATTGGTTATTTAGCGAATTTCCCTATAGGGAAGTAGCTATTACCGTAGGTGGCACGGTAAGACCTAGGCCCGGGACCGATTTACTTTTCCATTTTGATGTCCCCAGAGACCAAAAACACCATTAAAATTTTTATTCATGTATACGGGGTGTTCAAAAAAGGTAGGGACATATTTTACCTCGTGATTCCTTGGGTCAAAATAAAGAGAAAATCAGGAATAACATTCTTTCAAAAATCGCTTCGTTAACCAGAAATCCGCCATTTTGTTTTTTTTACATAACAATTTTTTCTCTTAATATTTTCAACCGATCTTTATGAAACTTGGTTAGGTATAAGAGACTCGTGTTAGAAAAAAAGTTCATCTCGATTCAACCTAAAATTTCAAAATGGCGGCCATTTAAAATTTTCAAACTTAAATTACTAGAAAATTGCTGGTTTTATGAAAAAATGTTAAGGACACTTTTAATTAGCATTTTTATTCATCTATCAAACGATACAAAGTTCAGAAAGATCGAATATGAAATAGCTGAAATATTAAGACTTTTAGTTGTAAAATGGGGTAGAATAAGTCAGAAGCTAGTCAGGTTTGCCACATTTTACAACTTAAAATATTACAGAGAATATTGTAAAATGTTGTAGTTTGCTTGTTTATGGATATATTTTGATAAACTTGGAAAATTTATTTATTTTATACTAAGCTATTTATATTTTACTAAAAAAAACACAGTTTTATTAGTTTCCTTGTAGTAGCAAACCTAGGTACTCGTTAAACCTAATTTTATTTAAATAGATTTAATTGAAAATCGATTTAGACGTCATGGAAATTAAGTTGGTAGGTTTGCTGCGGCTGGTGTGTATTTTTTTCCTCTTGGATCATTCTTATGTAATATTTAAGAATTGGAGATGGAATCCTAACCCTGGATCTAGCCAAAGAGACAAGATGTCTACCTCACTAAAAACACTTATCAACCAATAGTATTTCTAAACTTAACCCCGAGGTTTCAGCAGCAGCACACTTGCATAGATAGTTGTAAGAGGAAGTTAACATATTTTACACATATCCGACTGAGCTTAAAGGTTTAACTTTGGGGTTGGATCCATTTTTAAAATGAATAACTACTACATATTGTTGTTTTGTTGTATGGATTCAGCTTTGTAATGGATTTGTAGTGTTAATAGAAAGTTAAAATTATCCCTTTGACGTATTTCTAGGGTCCTCCAGGAGGTTCTGCTCCACCAGGCCCCGGAACTCCCATATTGCCAAGCCCTCAAGGTATGTTTGAGAAACAGTTATCCTAAATTTCATTACTGGGATCTAGACATTTCAATTATGCCATACCCGTCACCGCTTCATATAAAGTGCGCATATACCCAGCGGGCAAGCAAAAAGTACTGGTCAAAATCCCTTTCAGTCTGGCTTCAACCAATGTCAGAGTGAAGAACGCTCCAGAAGTTAATAGGACTAATGCAGTTAACCTCTCTCGGCCTCTCCCCACTCCAGCGTCGGCGGCCCTTTAGGACATCTTGGAACTATTCTCGATTAGTATTTAAATAAAACGAGTTAAATTATTAGGTTTGGACCAAATTGTAATTATGATATAATTTAACCTTAGTTAGGGATTGCAGGGGAGAAAGTCAGGGGCTTTAGGATGTAGTTTTGGATTGTAAGATTGTAAGATTGTTGTAGTTTTGCCTAAAGGGAAACCGAAACAAAATGGCACTAAATTGTTCTGTTGTTCTCAGCTGTCAATCCGAGTAGTTTATTCCTTCATACATTACCTTAATCAAAATTTTAGTATTCCATAGTTAGTTCATGATAAGTTATTCATATCAACGCAGCTTTTAGATTTTCTGGTAGTTTTGTGGTTTAACTAAAACACTAAATTTCATCACTAAGTTCAGTTCTTTGACCCAAAACTAGTCATCCATAGACTAGTTAAGACTGAAGACGGACTAAGGTACGTGTAACCTATTATATAATTTTTAAAGCCTATGGTTTCTCTGTAATTTTGTTCTGGCTTAAGATTGTGTGACGGTTTATTGCCACTGATTGATATTTAACACCGGGTTGGGGTGTCTGTGGAATAATGCAATAGTTGTGTGGATAGATGAGGGTTGAAACATGAAAATATACAATTGATTAACTAATATAATTAGCTGAGGAATTAGGAAGCGCTGCAACAATTGTTTATTTTAAAAGATAGGGTTTTACCCTGAGGCTGATCGTGCCTATTGCCGTAAACATCTTAAGCCAGCTTTTGATGAGCTGTGATTACCTAACTTATAACATGAAAACCTTATAACCTTATAACTATCTTATATCTTAAGCCAGTACTGAATTACAGAGAAACCATAGAGCTTTAAAAATTATATAATAGGTTACGTACCTTAGTCTGTCTTCAGTCTTAGGTTAGTCTATGGTGGCTAGTTTCCGGTTAAAGACACATTATCAAATCCTTGTAAACATGAATTGGAGTTGGTCATAAATCCGACAGATGTCTTCATCAACACGTAAATACAGTTCATCACATAAAGTTCACAATTAAAAAACACAATTTAAAAACCTTTGAGACGATAGGCCGGCCACATTGATACACGGGACAAACTAACACAGGTTACACGGCGGACGAAACAGAACTATCAGTTCTGTACTGTATCTGTTCAGTACTATAGTTTAGTCGTGTCTGCCGTGTAACCTGTGTCGGTTCGTCCCGGTTCGTCAATGTGGCCGGCCTATCGTCTTTTAAATGTTTTTAAATTGTGTTTTTTAATCGTCAAGTTTATGTGTCAAACTGTATTTACAGAAGATGAAGTCTTCTGTCGGATTTATGACCAACTCCAATTGATGTTTACAAGGATTTAATAATGGGTCTTTGATCCAAAACTAGTCATCCATAGACTAAAGTAAGACTGAAGACGGACTAAGTTACGTAGCCTATTATATATTTGAAAATCAGTCTTTGTAGCAAAGATGTTTAAAATTTAAAAATTACACCGTCTTAAAACACCCCACTTTGGTTTGGGACGATGGAGTAAAGTTGGTTGAAAGTTAAGTGTCGGTGGCTCAGTCAGTTTCACATCCTAGGACGCTAGGTTGTAGTCTGGAACTGTATTACACATTACTTCAGGCTAGTTCTAGAGGGTTGTGGCATTATCACATAGATAAAATCCATTGGTGATAGGCGGGCTTCGAAGCCCTGAGGTCTACCACTAGACCAGCTCGCTCCTCGGTAGCTCAGTCAGTAGTATGACAGACTGTTAAACCACGGTAGCAAGGTCTTGGGTTCGTGTCTCTGTACCGGTACTTAAAATTTTCAAGTACAGTTCATTCTTGTTCGCCCCAGCTCATTACTTGCTTTGCTTGATACGTTCCACTCACAGACTTTTGAAGCACATGTGGACAGGAAAATGCTAGGATAAAACAGGCAGCCAAATTCTTATAAAAGAAAAGATAAAGGATTTAATTGTTAGTTGATAAATAGAGTTGATAAATAGTTGTTCATAGTGGTGTAGTTGGTTTGCTACACCTGATATCTGAAAAAAACTATCAAATGCTCTTCAAATCTTCATTAAGCAAGTATAGTTTCCCAAAGTTTAACAGTGATTGGATGGGCAGTTTGATAATACATAAAGGACATTTATTGAGGATTTTGTGTATAAATAATACACATTTTACTAGAATATCTACAGGATTTTCTGTTCATCTTGTCTCAACAAAATGTTTATCCTTAGGTTCAGTCGGTCCATACTCCCCTGCTAGTCATCGAATGCCCACCCCCAGTCCAGTAAATCGTCAAGGTATGTATTCACCAATACGTTCATATGATAGTATTGTTAAAAGTTTAGTGTTCAACATTTTGTTTCAACTTCAGACATTATTTAATTTAGTTTAATTAAATATATCTTTGTTTACATATCAATTTCCACTCCCATCTTATAGTTATTTTTAAAAAATTGTGCATCCAGTTCAGACATTCTTAAATCTATAACAACTAAAAGACACTTTACTAACTTATAATATCTATCATATTTTCAAGTTACCTTTCAACCCATCTCAGTAAAAAACTCTACGTCAACTAAACATAAAGAGTAAAGCTTATGTACTCAATTTTTTGTTTTAAAAGTGCCCGAAAACCCAAATAGATGACATTTAGAAATGTAGTAAAATTCTGTATTGTACTACAGCTTATTGTTTATTGAATTATCTTAATTGAGTGTATAGTTGGACTTGTCCATTTAGTTTCATCAGCAAACGAGTTAATTTACACCAGTCAATTTTGAGTGGTTTTGCAATAGTATTTTACTGTTATTTTACTTATGTTACATGTGTATTACTAATATACCTCTTAGGTTTTTACGAACCATTTCTTAATTAATTCATGGATGTGAATTGCCTTATAGACTCCACAATTGGTGGATTTATTTTTTTATTTGTTATGTGACTTAACATTTTGGGATAGATAATCATGTTTAATTATCAGTTCATTTATTTTCATTGGTTGAATTTGTGTACAGTCATTGAAGTCATAGCCTCCTCTAACACAAGCCCGCAGCGAACAATGTGGCAATGTTGCACTCACCTGCCTATTGCCACGGTAGCATGGCACATCCGCTCCATATGAATTAGTGGTACAGCTGTTTGGGTAGACTGGGACTGCAGCGTGCCACTTCTGTTTTTCCGTGGCCTTGTAGAGGAGGCTTTAGTAAAGTAAAACCTAAACAGCTAAGAAATGTATGTGAACCTGTGTACTTCGTTAATGAGTGAATATCAGTTAAGAAATAGTTTTTTTAGGATAGTGTTGATTTTTGATCACGATTCTAGATACCACCGATACATTGGCATTGGTATTGAGAATCGATTCCGAAACCGATACCCGAAACGTCTGCAAAGATCGTGCGATCAAAAAATTACTGCGGTTTTGGTGGACAATGATGTTACCGTGACCGAGGGAGACGATGATTATGTCTACATGGCCATGGGGGATGATCATGGTTTTGCCACGATCGCGCAAAACGATGATGTTTTGTGGGTGCTGGAGACGATGATGATGTCTGCACGACCGCAGGGAATGATCAGAATATTACCACAACCGCGAAACGATGATAATGTCTACATGATGACAAAGACGATAATGATATCTAAACGGCCGCAAGTGATGATTTTGCCACGATTGCAGAAGACTATGATAATGTCTACATGACCGTGGGAGATGTTTGTGATTTTGCCCTGATCACGGGAGAAATTGATAACGTTACCGCAGAGCAGTATTCAGGATTTTGGCTTGACTGGGAAAGACAGTGATGATGTTTTAGTGACGTCTCCACAACCGCGGGATATGTTCACGATATTACCCCGAGTTTGGCTTGACCAAAAATAACACCTCTATTTATAGTAACCTTTTGTTTTTGATTTTTTTTAGATCTGTATTTGCCTTTGATAAGGTAGTCATTTAATGTGTTAAGAATGGTTAAAACTTGAATTTGCTATATTTAGAATATTTAATTGGTACATTAAATTTGTCTTTACTTAAAAAACACTTTATGGATAAACATAAAGACAGGGGTTGGTGTAGTATCCAATCCATTCAGATAATTCGGTAGAACTATAAAAATAATGGTATCAGTATCGAGAATCGGTGAATTTTGTATCGACAATCATACTACTAATTTATTTAGATTGTGAGAAAATGCTAACTTAAAAATATTAATGATTACAGATCCTTCAAACCCAGGAGGAGAAAACATGTACACAATGATGAAGTCAGTACCTGGGGGATCCATGCCTGGGGTAATGTTGTTATTGTTGTTGTTGGTGTACAGTGTTGAGGTGTTAATCAGTATTTCTCATGTAGGCTATAACTTAGTTGGTATGTTGTTAAACTAATCTTTGGTATCAACGTGTTAATCGTCATTTTTTCTCAATTTGAGAACATTAAAAACTGAAAATTTTGAATAATAATGGTTAGTAGGTCAATTAGGTATAATGGGTGGTTAGTAGTATAATAAGGTTATTTCTACGGTGGATTCTATAAGAAGACCCTTGATAACAAGTGTCATTTCAAATCCCCTTGAATTCATTTTACCCCAATTCACATGTTATTGCAAACCTCAATAAGGGAGTCAACATTGATAACAAGTCTCATTTTATAATCCCCATGAGAGTCTTGTTATCAAGGTTCTACTGTATCTCAGAAAAAATTTTCTTTCAATTTTATAAGGATTTCGTGAAGGATTGGTTGAACAGCAGGCTTACACTTAACTAACAAAAATAGATGAAAATGCACAAATAAACACTTCAGTAGTAGTCTTTATTTGAAGAAGGAGCTACTAGCTACAAAAGTCCTGTGTTTAGTAATTATTTGTGCATTTTTGCAAGTCTGGTGTTAAACCTATCCATTACAAAATCCTTAAAAACCCTGGCCTAAAGCCATCTTAATCAAGAACATCATTTTTATTCAAATTGTTCTTTTTAGTACAGTAACATCCCGCTATTCCAAACCAACTGTGACTTTTTGGATTTTCTGAAATTCGGAATAAGCAGATTTATTTAATAATATCAACATTTTGATGGAGAAATAGTTGAAATAGTTGAAAGATGTTGGTGTTGTGGCTGTCATTAAGATAGATGGTGAAAGTGTTGCAGCGTATTGTCCACATAGAAATAAGTAACTTCGTAAATGTTTACGGTCATGTTTAATGTTAACTTTGCTGACGTTTGTGGATTTTTCACCAGATTGTACATCGTTATCTTATGGCAAAATTGCAAATTTTGCTCATATTCATGGTATCCCTTACCATTCTTGGAAATATGGCTATGGCTGACGTTCGTGACATCATAACTTGACTCTAGGTAATTTAAGGCAAAGTCCCTAACATTGCCAACATTTGCCAAGCAAGTGGCAATATTGCTAGCTCCTTCGACGTTCACGGTGACATAGCAGGCTTTATTACACAAAAGTTTTTAAAAAAATAGACAGATTTTCGAAATAGTGTGGTTTGGAATAGTGGGACTCTACTGTCTATGCTAATTCTACTAACATGGTTACAAATTGTAAACAACATTTTCAAATACATTGAATATGTGAATGTGTACTGATTATCTGCAAAAATAAGGTTTAACACGTTCCCTACCGACCGTCACACTTCTCTGTAACTGAGGGATGAGTATATTTGGTTGCTAAATGTGTTAACACGTTCCCTACCGACCGTCACACTTCTCTGTAACTGAGGGATGAGTATATTTGGTAGCTAATGTGTTAAACCTTTTATGTATTCTCTTGGATTAAAATCGACTGGCGTCAACATAAAGGCACCTTCAAATCTAGGAAATAATAGAGATTTTAGAGATGTATTATCTATACATTCTCATTCCAGGCAAACAATGAATCAATTTACTTTAAGATCAAATATGTTGATAATTATGAGCAGACGAGTTAGGAAAAAAGTAGATACTATGATTAGCAAAGTAATCAAGATTTTTTAAATCAAATTGATTATAGCCTCTTAATTAACCCATTGTTGAAGGAATTAATGCGCTGCCTGCAGCACCCTCTGTCGGCAATTAATTTTACCGAATTCGTAGACTTTTACTCTAATTGTTATAGAAAGAAAACCTTAGGCAATAAATTAATAATTCTTTCGCCATTTCGACCACAGTAAAATTGTCTAAAAAAAATGTGGTAATTGGATAGTCAGAGTGTCAAGTAAAAAATAAAAAAGTATAAAGATTTTAAAAATAAAAATTATAAAAACAATTTTTTGAAAGTAAACTTGATATACAACATCCAAGATTAATAACACCAAATGACACTACTATGATAAAGTTTAATTGATTCCCTACGTAAAAAATCACAAGTTGTGTTCTTTTATAAGTAATAACATAGAAAATCTTTTTTGTTTTGCCTTACCGCAGCTGATTTTTTGTGATATCCGGTTTCCATGGCAACATAACATTGTTTGTTTTTCGCAAAATAAATTATTAAATATGCAAAACAAGAAGCAAGATATTTATAAACATAATAAAAGTAAGAAGAATTAAAAAGGGGGAGGGGGAGATAATAATAATAAAATAACTAATGGCGCTGCGTAGTGGGGACACGAGCGGCATTCGTAAATCAGCTGCTGGTAGAAGGCAAATTATTCATCCCCACACAATAGAGTTGTACAAAATGGTGGCTTTAAATGATTTACACTCTACCAAGTCAGAGGATTTTTGGAGAAAGGACAAAATATTGTGTGTTCTGTGTTTTCTATGTGTACTATGGCTTATCGGACTTTATACAAAACAAGCTAACTCATTTCCCCTTATTTCACAATACTAGCCTAGAACCTCTTCTTGAATAAAAGTAAAATAAAATTGAGTAAACTAAATTTAATAATTGATAATTATATTTACAGGAGTTTGGAATGGGAGGTAATGGACCAGGAAATGACGGTCCTGTAGGAGGTGGAATGGGTGTGGTTATGAATGGAGACGGCAATTCACCAGCAGGGCCAGGCCCAGGCACACCTAGGGATGACTCTGGCGGAGGTATGGGGGACTACAACTTAGCAGGCTTCGGACCTACGGATAACGTCAACATGGGTGTACCTGCCTCTTTCTTCTCTGACAGCAAATTGGGAACTAAAGTTCCAGAAGAATGGTGAACTCGTATCGCTCTAGTATGTGTGTATTTATTTGCTGACAACCATTGCTTTGGACTGTCCCCTACTAGACAGCATCACTTTTGATGGACACGGTTCCGTTAAATGTAGTGCTCTCCTTCCAGATTGGTTTGAACATTTCATTTAAAAGAAAAGGGAACCAAAAATACACATTCAATACTATGTGAGGCCTCTTATTTTTTAGTGAAAAGAGTTGAACATGTGGTTATGTTTGAATCTATATAGCCTACGTAATATAATAAGGGTTTTATCTGTAACATCCATTTCCTCCCGTCCTAGTATACTGTTTTTTTACAATAGAGGTGTCATTCAAAGGGCTTGTAATCTAGCGCAGGTACGAACAGTAATTAAAAGGCAATTTCATTTACGGTTTCATCCCCCTAGCCCTTTATTTCAAAATGGAGATTTCAGGATTCACGTAAAGCTGGACAACTTGCTATATACCGTTTGAATATGTCAATCGTAATTTAATACTGATTACTTTCAGTTAAATTTTAACCACAGTAAAATGGCTGCAATTAAGAGGCAAAACATTTTATGAAAATTAATTTTAAACTGTACTTTTATTTATAGTGATTGAGACAGTTAAATCACTCTTCATGGTATTGTTCGGCAATTGATATATTTTTTTATATTTTTAATTACTGCATTTTTTAATCTAATAATTGTCTTAAAAAATATTTATAATATCATTTTAATATGATGATGTCTTTTTATGTTAAACTTTTACAGCTACGAATTGATTTAAAAAATAAAAAAAGCATAACTGCATTTCCATTAGGCCTACCAATTATATAAAGCGTTGAACCATATTAAAATAGGCGCTGTGCACAAATCCTCTCTTTTCTGTTTAGGAGAAGAAATATATTTTTGTTATTATTCTATATTAAACTATCTACAAAAATGTTTTCTAACATTCAAAAGCTGTCCAATTTTTCTTTTGGAAAATCTATTATCACATGGTTGTGAAGGAAATCAATATATTTTTTTTTATCTCTGTATTATTTTGGTATCATTAAATTTATTTATGGATATTATTATTTAGTATAGGCTATGGCTTTTTGCTGCTATGATCTAGTTTGTTGATTTTAGAATCTCAACCTCTTAACATCCTCAATTCAGCAAACCTGACTCTCAGTGCAATTTTATTATCTATTTATTGGAAAAGAAAATGTATAACAACAGACAAAATATCTTGACAAAATTCTCAGACCTTGGTACTGTGAAACTTAGAAAAGAGTGTCCGGTATCTTTACCAATGCCAATAATTACTGTAATATTTGAATCATAACAGTATTAAGCATGCCAATGCCAAACAAACAGTTAAAAAAATGCATTATTGTACACCAAGATATTGGATTATACACACAGTAACTAACACATAAATGCCGCATTGGCTTACTACTACTACATCGTTGTTAGTACGGTACCAGATCTGATTCATTTCAGCTCTTACATCACAAATTTTCTAACATTTTAAATAGTTGTAAAATAAAATTTCCTGGCTACAGATTTGCTGAGATGAGAATATTTTCATAAGAAAGTGTTTTAACTTTAATTTTATACAATCAAAATGCATAATATTTCAACTTTTGACATAATTTCTATATTTGAGATATTTGTGATTAACATAAAAACAAGGCAATATGTTTGTGCCATATCTAGTTATATAAATGAAAGGTTTTATAGACAAGATGTGTAATTGATCGCATGGTTGTGGGTTATGTTGATTATTCTGTACTCATGGGTGATCAGGGTATCTTCTTGCCAACTGGTTCAGGGATTATGCTTAGTAGATTACATAACTATAATTATCTGTGTGATAAAATGACTGACCATCGAATAATATAAGACATGATTAACAATAATTGATTAGTTTTCTACTAAAATCATAAAAAAGCTTAAAGTTCAAATTATTTTTTGTAGTATGTGAAATATTGTATGTTTGTTTAAATTATGTAGAGAGATACAAACTAATACATAATATAAAAAAATAACCTAAAAAGGTTATATGTTGGTACGCAGGCTGTAATGATTTTTTTTAGTTTTATTTATTTCACATTACTAAACAACTTGTATATTTTATCACAAAGCTAGTTAAAAGTAAATCAAGGAAAATATGGGCCCCTTAATAGTAAGATCAATAATTGCTTCTATGTTTATCTTTCAGTGTTGTTGAGGTACATTCTTGGAGTAAATATAAGCCAACTTTGTCTTTAGGTGCTCACAAATCTTTATGTGTTTAAGCAGTTTTTCACTACTTGTGATTATGGGCTTTAATATGTTGTAATTTAGGTTTTATAGTGCTTATTTAATTCGTAGTAAGTAATAGTAAAGAACATGTATCAAGTTAAATAGTAAGCAGGTAACCTTTTTTCAATTTTACAACTCTTCTTGGTGAAGTCTAAGAATTTGTACCTCATCAAACGATTGTGTTCTTAGGCTACAAAGAACGTCAATGAGTGCCTCAATGACAAGAAAGAGGAAGACAATTCCCCAAAACGAAAAGAAAGGTTACCTGCTTGTTTTATGTAAGTTGTATTTTTATCCATCAATTAGGGTTGTGTAAGGTGGATTACTTAGACAGTACCTCACCTTTTTCCACTTAATAGGTTGTAACTACGCAGTATTCTAAAACTCGAGGAACTCATTTTTGTGCCATATAACTCTGTGTTCCTCGAGAAAACTTTGAAGGAATTTATTTATTTACATTATATAATTTTGTTGTTTTGTTATTTCTGCACATATGTACATATTAGGTATACATAATTTTCTCAAATACTCATTTGTTAAGTTAGTTAATAAATAAGTTAGTTTTAAGGAATCGTGTCGGTTGTCAAAGGGGATGGTGTAAGCTAATGTGTAATTTCATAAAATTAACAAATCAGAACAGGGTATTCATTACAGTTTGTTGATTTCTTACTGTTTAGGGTTTTTTTTATGTTTTCAGCAATGCTGAGAAAACACAACATATTTTGTGACACCCTGTTACTTAACAAACATTTTTGAATGATTCCACAAAAAATGACTTGCTAATTTGTATAACAAGGAGTAATATTATACCGTCAATCTACTTTCCAGCCCTCATATTTTGTTATCGGGAAAGAATATTTTTTGTGGATTGATCTCAACATTGCTTTAGAATCCTTGCCAACTGTTTACCATCACAACTAGGCCTAACCTGATCTCTGCTTCTACTGCAGGCCCTCCGCTCTAGTCTGGCTGTCATTTTGTCATAAAAAATGTACTTTTAAATTTTTAATGGTACTTATTCTCTAAATGGGATATTTTCTAAAAAGGCCCAGTCTTTTCTATGCCATTAACACGTTGACTGCTGAAAACAACATACAGGCGCTCCCCCAGTGGCGGGCGAAGCCCCGCCATGCAACCGAATCAACGAACGCAATTGGCATTCAAATATTTCAGTCTGACGAATCACAAAAGAGCAGTGGTGACTGTGCTGCGTTACCCCGAGAGTGGATGTAGTTCACGGAAACACCCAAAGGTTGCAGCACTGCACGGATCCGTATCCAGTGTCTTTGTAATGTGGGTTGAAGAGAAAAAATCCCCGAAACCGGGACAAAAGCATTGCCAGACAGGATTTTACGGGAAATTTTAGTACCAACCTACACCAAAGTAAAGCTCGCATTCTAAGCTGGCTGTCTGGCAACGATTATAACGTCTCCGTCTGAAGCTAAGCTCACACTGACTCAATATATTTCTGTTGGTCTGGTGCCGACTTTTGTCGGCGCGAGCCACATTGAAGTGCTAGCGACGCTGACTTTAGTCGGCGTTAGCAGTCAACGTGTTAAAATGCTGTAAAGCTGGAAGTAAGTAATCGTCACCTTTTCTTACTTCTTTCAGTGATGAATTACCTTAACTCATAGTTTTCAAGAATACTGCCAATTGAAGTTTTCAAATTGTTGAACGTTGGGAATACTAGTCTTAATAATTATTTTTACCAATCGAGAAACTATTATGTTACGCGATTTTTTTTAAATCTTGTAACTAGTAACTTTTCCCAATCAAACGATTTTGTGGAGATTTTTGGTGTCCACAATGGACAAGCACTCAAATATTGTTAGCCAATTAACATTAAGAACTCTTAACATCATTAAGAAATAACAGAGTTAACATCACATTTGAAATCATTTAGTTATTTTTATGTTGACCTAGCATTTTTGTCTGTACACTTAGGAATATGCAAGTTCAATCGCTTTTACATTAATAAGACTGTGTAATGGTTGTTAATTCATAATTAAAATCTTTTAGTTAGTAAGTATTTGTTACTTGTTTAAAATGTGGGGTTTTGGCTTTTTATTTAGATATCTAGTAAAAATATGTTTTCTGTCTTTGATTTTCATCTGTGGGTTTAAAAAATCTAATGACCTTCTTCATATTGTGGTGCCAGTGCAATTAACACTGATAAAATACAGTTGCTCAAAAAATCAAACTGCTGTTAGGTGTTACTCCAATCAATTTCTAGAAGTCTTTTTTTGTTTTTGTTTTAAACTCCTCATTGTACTTGTATATTGAGTAATAATTATAAAATATGAACTATCGATGTAGCTATTTTTGTAAATGTGATGTTATAAAACAAAAGTTATCAGGCAAGCTTAGTATATTATTTGACTTTTAGGAGTAAGTTAGGCTGGCACCTAAATCTATGTTCTATTTTTTAAACCATTTCCATGAATACTGCACTGTTTTAATGAAGTTTTTCATTTAAGAAAATTGTTTGCCCTGATTTGTTGTTTGATGAGGTTTCACAACTTTTATGACACTTGCCACAATTTTTATTTTGAGATCTGCCTAGTCCTATAAGAGTATGTTTTCTGTTATCTTTTTGAATGTCAATTTACACATTCATATGTCACAAACTCCTTGTGGAGTATATCCTTATTAATGTGTTGTAATAATTTGTACTTATCTCATTTATTTTTCTTGTATTGAAAGAATCTTTGATCCTGAAATGTATGTTTTTACGCTATTTAGGGTAAAGAAATTATATTTTGAAAAACCGTGTGTGTTTTTTATTGCTCCAAAATCACCAGTATCTATGTAAATACATTACTGATGTAAATTATATTTTTATGCTTTGATTGTAAATGATTTTCTAAGAGGGATTTTATTATTCTTATCATTGTTAATAAAGCTGCTAGATTTGTTTTACTTTACTTGGGGACTACTATACTGTAAAATTAGAAAAAAACCCAGCAAAAGTATTGAATGTGACACTTAAAGTTTCAGTTTAGACAGTATAACTTGTGTTGTAATTATACCAGGTGTCCCATAATAGACCCCCCCAGCTTAATTTTTGATTACTAAATTGGTTATGTAAAGTACTTTTTGGTGATATTTTGAAATTCACCCCCACCCCCAAATAGGGGTTGCTGGGCTTAAAACTTTTAAATAGCAACCCCTATCAAGTAGCTCATCATTTTAAAAACTTTAAAATACCCCTGCTGCAGCAAACATGTCAACTAAGAGAATTTCCATTTGCCTGGATTGATTTTCAATTAATCTAATCAATTAACATTTATGTTTGACAAGTACCTAGGTTTGCTGCTACAGGGAAAATAATAAAGTGTTAAATGGAATTTTATTAAAATGTTAATAGCTTAGTATAAAATAAATAAATCTGCCAAGTTTGATCAAAATATATCCATAAACAAGCCAACTACAACATCTTACAATATTCCATAAGAATAACATGGGGATTGTTAAATGAACAATCTTTTTTTATTTTCTCCATAACCAATAACCGTATAAAAACACTAAATTATTTGTGTTTTAAGCTACCGTATTTTAAAAGGTCTGGAGAAAAATTGACAAATTTTGTGTTTTAAGGGTAAAAATTAGAAAACCCCAATTTTTACCATTTTGGACGTTAATTTAACTAGAACTTTACATTCCATCTTTTTTTTTCATGGCTATAAATTGTCAAATCACCTTCAGTACACGTGACCAGGTGGATGTCACATACTTTTGAACATGATTTTGAATTTACCACCCACCCCCAATTAATATGGGTTGCTGGTGGGTTTTTTTTATATGCCTACCAACTTTAGAAATAATCTTAAAAAATTTTCAAAAGTACGAAATGTCCATAAGATTTGTATGGGGGGGGGAGTTTTCATTTGAATATATCTTTAAACAAAAAAAAAGATTTAGGCATTGAAATAAGCGTGAAAATCTTAGTTTATAATGATGTGTCACAACACTAGCATTACATTTAAAAATATTATTTATATTAATATTCAAGATGGCAGCTGAAAAACGGACCCTACCAAAATGAAGTAAATAGGCCTACTAACCACTCAATAAATATCGGTGGTGGTCCCAAGGCAATTTTTTAAAAATCCATTTGGTAACTTTTTATCAAATGTGTCAAATGTTGGGAAAAGCCGCCATTTTTCATTTTAATTTTAGGGGTTTTCCCATTGACCGGTTTTTGGAAACTTTCAGTATGTCACTCTGCACACCCACCGCTACAAAATAAAACCATCAAACGTTTTCTTGCAATTTTTTTACGATTCCTGTGTCTGTTTTCTAGTTTGCTTGGACTATTACTGTTTTTACGATGAGTGTATTTTTGTAACTTTTTGTAAGTAGTTTTTGTTCCTTGTTTTGTTATTAATAAAAAAACATCCTTAAAAAGTTTTCATAAAATCAACCGTAAAGGAGTTATAGCGCTAGAAAGGCATAAGGTCACGGAATGGGCACACGGGAGGGACTAAGGCTAAAGGTGTAGTGACGTCATAAATCATAAAAGTCATAAAATTGGTTTAAATCATATTTGGCTAATCGGACACAAATGACAAAACTTGGATTGAAAATGTCAAACGTCCTTCAAAAAAGTAGAGGAGTCCCACAAGGTAGCTGTCTTGGCCCTATATTATTCAATGTATACACTGCAGACATTGCAAATGTGGTAAAAAACTGTTCCATTCACATGTATGCTGATGACTGCCAGCTGCTATATACATACAGTAAAAATGATGTGGATGAGGCATTTGAAATTGTAAATAAAGACCTTAAATCTGTGGAAGAGTGGTCCATGAGTCAGGGGCTGAAATTAAACGTTAATAAGTGCTCTGTTCTCCATGTTGCCCCTCCTGACTTGCAGAATGCACTAAAAATTGGGGCTTATGGTAAGATATCTCTTTCCGGACATGCCCTTGAAATATGTAGCCAAGTAAAAACACTTGGTGTGATATTAGATGACAACCTCACCCTCTCGCAGCATGTGTCCTATGCGTGTCAGAAGGCATTGGGTAGATTACGCGGACTGTATAGGCTTAGATACCTATTGCCTGAGGACGCTAGGGTCCAGATAGTCAAGTCGCTAGTTCTCTCTGCTATTGAATACTGTCTTCCAGCATATGGAAACAGTATATTAAAAGGTGACTGTAATAAAATACAGAGAACGCAGAATGCAGCAGTCAGGTTCATTTATGGCCTAAGAAAAAGAGAACACGTAAGTACATTCAGAAGTGATGCGAAATTGCTGCCCATTGAAGTTTTTTGTAAGGCCTCTACTTGTGTTCTCATACACAAAACGTTATCCCTAGGTAAGCCACTCTACTTGAGAGAAAAACTGCCAGCCCGGCGGGACGTTTCTAAGCGCAGCACCCGACAGAACGATTTGTTGCACGTGCCTAAAGTCAGCCATGAGGTAGGTCGGAGAGCCTTTGCTTATTTCGGACCTAAATTGTACAACTCTGTCCCTTCAAAAATAAGAGAAAAAGGTTTAACAGGCTTCAAAACGAATATAAAAATGTGCTCATTTCATGTATAGCTTTTAGTCTTATGTACTTATTTTGGTTTTTAATTCTTTGTTAGGTATAAGATGACGAAAGTTGTAAGAGAAAAACAGTTTTGTAAAATTGACTTAACGCTTGAACCAATAAAGACAATTTTATTTATTTATTTATTTATACCTCTAGTGGCTAATGTCTACTCTTGAGGCAACACGATTACCGTAACGAAACGATGAGTTTTCAGCGGCGTTCGTGGCATAGTTGGTAGCGTTTCGGATTGGTGTTCAGGAGGTCCCAGGTTTGAATCCCGCTAGCAGCACTATCTTTTTGTCAACATATTTTTCATATCAGCAAGTTTGGTTGGTTAGGTTAGGTTATGATATATAATTATAATTTATTGTTGTTAATTACTACATTATTGTTGTTAATTACTATTTTATTGTTGTTTGTTTTGTTGCCTATGTCTAAGTGTCAAAAGTTCACAGTTGTTATTTAATATTAGTCATCTTGAACTGTACAATGTTATCTTTAGTACCACATCAAACAAAATGGAATGTCCGTTGAAATAAAATAAAATAAAATGACAGTTTAGTTTTATAACACTAAATTTTAAAATTAATTTTTTAATTAATTAAAAATTATAAGTAATCATTAATTAGATTTTTGTCTTATATAGTTTTTACATTATCAGCAAGTCTGGTTAGTTAGGTTATGTTATGACAGTTTAATTTTAAAAATTAAAAATTTGTTTTATAATTTTAAAACAGTATTTTATAATTAAAAAGTTAATTTTATAACTATAAATTAAAAAAAAATAATTTAAATTTTTTCACCTTAGCGGTTCTAGCAGCGAACGCTAACACTACAAACAAGATATGTTAGCCTTAGTCCCTCCCCTCCCGTGTGCCCCACCGATAATGTCACTGTTAGCCATTTTGGAAGAATATCATCATACACCAGCTGGGCCACACTTTCAGACAAAAAACCCGGTAGAACACGATTCTATAGCTAATCTGTCTATAGGGTTACCACCAGTCATATAATCGCTTCATTGGAAATTCCACGAACTTTCCTTTTTTACAAATGCCTCTACACTATACTTCAGTTAGTTGTTAAATTACAGAGCACAATACACTACTAGCAAAATATGACGCAATGGTTTAAAGGTTATAAACAGGAGAAAATATTCAGTTGAAGACGATTTACTAATTGTAATTAATGTAGCCTTGTTTTAAAATAATATGTTCAAATATTCTGAATGTAATGGGAAAATTGTGACACATGTAAATAAGAAATAGGTAACTAATAAACTAGCAAAATAATCACAAACCCTAGATAACTAGTTTATAGACCGTAATCTAAAAATAGTAAGATGTAAGGTCTATCTCAAATAGTTACTGAAATATAAGCGATTTTGCAAAGTACTGCGTTTATCCACCCTTAAAAACGTTGTAGGGCTGTAGCACGGCCACCTTTAACTCCAGTCCGCGGCCTGGTAGAATTGGCAACGTTGCAAGTTGGGCTGTTTAGTGAGTGGTTTAGTGTCTGACGTTCCATAAGATAACACATGGCAGACCGAACGTGAACACTCAACTGGACTTGGACTGAACTGAACGTAACGTCAACAATTAACAAAACAATAACATAACATAACTAATAACAATAACTAACTAAACAACTAACAACTTGAACAAGAACAACATCGTTTCGTTTGTTGTCTGTTTAAGCTTACCACTTTTATAATTTAAAAGTAATAAAGTGATAATATAGTTTAGTAAAAAATTGAATGAGGCTGAATCGTCCACCCGAAGGGTCCGAGTCTTTACGCTGATCGGTAATTTAGTTTTCCTTAAAAATAAATCATTTACAGGGTTAGGTTTTAGGTTAACTGTTGACTAAGTTTTCTTCTACACAGAGGATACGCGTCCGGTAACCGGACGTGGATTAGGCGTCCGGTAACCAGACGTGGATTAGGCGTCCGGTAGGGGGTCCCGGAACGCCATTACCACAATGATACGTTGTTCAGCCATCAGTGTTCGTGGTGTAGTGGATAGAGTGCTCGACTGACATGCGAGAGGTGCCCGGTTCGAAACCTATCGGTAGCTTTAACATTTTGTCACAGATTTTTCTTTGAATGTAATTTCTTCTTAACTGTACATATTTTGTTAGAATTTTTGGCATTTATAATTTTATGTTATGATGAGAATTGAACCTTCATTTGATTTTTT